CAGATGAAGCAAACTTGTAAGCGGAGGCATAAATTATAACGGCTTTATGAACACCTCGTCGCATATTTCCGAGCATGTCTGCTGCCTTCTCCAAGCCGCTGCAAATAACTGAGTTTTGTAGGAATTTAAAAACCACTGGAAATAAAAGAAAGAGGCGTACACTACGAGATTGACTTCAACATTATTCGAAACATGCTCTAATCTTGGATCTTCGTAAAGAGCTTCATTGAAATCGTCGACATCTGTGAAGTGAGTCGGCTCAAAAACAATCTGTAAATTCAATTATATATATATATATATATATGTAGTAATTATTATTTATTACTTCAGCTTCTGCATTATATGTGATTAGTCCAATTTCGGAGTGTTGTTTCGTACTCGGATCAATATTCATTTGACCAACAATTGTTGCAATTTCCGCTTTCACCTAATTGTATACCATTATTTGATATACAATGCGATTATATGGTCTTACCAAGACGAGTCCCATATCAGTCATAGCTTTTGAATTATCGACAACAAAAACAATGTCAAGCTGAAAAAAATACATTTTTTGAGAAATCGTGGTATGTGTGTTTTTTTTTTTACATATAATGTGTCCAAATGACAGCTACAATTCTGATAATCCCCCACAATTTGTGGCGGATGTGTTGGTCGAACCTGCAACTAATTAAGTTCATTTAATCTTTTCAATTATTTCAACACCGGTTTCCTTGTTGTTCCATCCCGTTTGGCGGATGTCGTCGTCGTTGGCTTTTGGGTTGTGCTCGTTGTGCAAATTTCTGGTTTTGGTGTAGTGAAGCCAGCTGAAAACGAATAGTGAATGCAAATGAATCTTACAATTCTTACGTGATAGGAAGCAAACACCATTGTCGATAATATCATTGATTATTGCTTGATTTCCACTAGCCATATTGGCAAGCGAAAGATTGACAAACTGCAAAAAAGAATGAGGCCCAATAAGGAGTTGCCCTAAGGAGTTACCCTGTGATATTTGGTTAATGAATATACAGGTTGAAGTGAACCGATTCCGACAATTGTGACAGCAAAACCATTATCGGCAAATCTTTGCAACGAATCCTTTGTCGATGCTACATCCACAGGATCACTGCAAAAAAAAAACCGGATTGATTTTGAATTCTGATCGTTTCTCGAACTTATGAGCCGTGAAAATGATAATTCGTTTTTGAATATTCTCTCTTGGACCATAAAGTGCTTTTTGTCCCATATAAACACTCTCAAGGAAACTAACGCATGTGCTGAACGTTCCATCGTACAAACCGTACTGGGTTGCCGAGACACGATATCGTTCGAGTCGGTTCAAAGCATCCTTTCTGAATTTTATGACCAATAGGCATTGTTTTAAAGATTACTAAGAATAACCTTGTCGTAAGATACGGCGAACTTTGAAATTCGTTGGCAAAATAAGCACCAACGACAGCAACTCGAACTTTGTCATTTGCCAATGTCCATCCATCAATTAATTTATTGACAAAAGAAATTTCCTAAATTTTATTAATTTTCAATAAATAATTGTTATATGTAATTTCATTTTCGGAAAAAAGTCGGCAAAAAGAAAATTAATTTTTTAAGCATAAATACTTGAATGTCTGTATTTTCTATTCTGTATAAGGTTATCAAATATTTGGGCAGAACATGGCCATTGACCCGGGCCGACCTGGATGCTCTATTTGCACTGTTTCAACTTGATATATTCAACTAGAAAAAAAATACTTGATTGATGTAGTCGGTATTTTTCATTGACAACGATCCATCAACCATAATTATGACATCTCTTGTGCATGGTGTCACATAACATTCTAAAAAATATGAAATTCCAATCAACCCACTATAATCTAAAATAATTACCCTTCGAATAGGAATAACAGAATAAGATCGCGAAAATTAAAGCCAACAACCGAAGCATCTATAAGAGAGACAATTTAAAATCTAAAAACCAGCTAGAACAACTGATAGGAACTTATCACCAAACTCAAGAACTCGACTTAAGGCTCTTTAAACGATAAAATGTATTAGGGAATAGTGACAGGGGCCATTAACACAATCATGTGATTCATTCAATAAACAAAGTAGAAAAGAATTTTTCACAAAATAATAAAAAATTAAACAAAAATTATGTATGGGAGTTGAGAAGATGAAAAGGTGAAATCGACGATCAAAGTGTATCAAAGAAGGGCCGCCGGCAGACGTCGGATTAATGAGAACCACTGAAATCACGACAAACTCAATTGAACGACTTACAAATAATGGAAAATGAGATTTTTGTCACTAGCGAAATGTCCGCGAGAAATGAGGTGTTTGAGGAGGAATCCGACATCGTCGGGATTCAAATCGAGTCCCCAGTCATCTTCGGGCTTAACTCCAAGCGTTTTGCACTGTGCCACACAATGATTGATGAGCTGAGTTGTGGTCGGAATCGGATTGCGATTCACGGCGGCCACACGGCGAACGACCTCATCTGAAATCGGCGACTTGTCGTCTAATAATTTGCATTTCTAATTACCGGCAACACTCAATATTTTATTCATCATTTCAACATTGTTTCGGCATTCCCTTAACGGCGAGGTGAGCTCGAGCAAAACTCTTGCAGACGCATCTTGAACTCGACTTCCTGAAATTCCAAACATTTTTGTATAGTTATTTCCCTTCCTCAAATTCCTGAATGCTTACACATAATTTGCAGCGTGCATCTAGTGATTTAGATAACACTCGATTTTGTGCTACTCAGAATGTTCTAAAGTTCAAATGAATGACGTAGCGAATGCACATACAGTACCGTGCAGTAAGATATACAATTTCACTTTTTTTATCATAACTTTCTGAAAAATTGACCAATCGATCTGAAATTTCTGGACAACACGGATAGTGTGTTCCCAAACATAATTAATTTGATTTGAGATACTATAGACGCAATTTTTGTGTTTTGGACCTTTTTTGCGTATTTTCAAAAATGCGACTTTCTTAATTTTTAAGTTTTTTCGATTTTTTTTTAGATTTTCAATGTTAACATCAGTTTTTTTTATTTGTTTTAGCAGGAGACGATCAAAATGATCAAAAAACATTCTATCAGACGTTTTAAAGCAATCAAGGATGGCCGAGCACAAGGTCTTTTCATCCAATGTCTATCACACCAGTTGAACTCATCGACCTGGACCATTTGTGGATGTTTGAAATCTCGATCGGATTCCAAACCACTTGGAAATCCTTCCAAAACATCCCCGGCAATCAATCGCACCATTGTAGGAATCAGCAAGAGCAACCCGCGTCTATCCGATTCCGAGATTAGGCGACAACTGAGTCAGTTTTGAAATTTTTGGACAACTATAAGCATCGATAGAGGGATTATATAACAAAATTAGAAGGTGTAAAACACATTAGGACAAATTTTATTGACAAAAAATCCGAAATTCCATTATATCGAAAAACCGACTTGAATAATTTTGATACCGGTACGACTTGAAATAAAATGGAAAACACCAATTATCCATCAGGAAGCTTAAAACAACTCAATATCTTGTTGACATGTCATTTGCATCGATCTCAGTTTGACATCGGAGACCCATGGACTCGATCAAATTCGTGTGGGTTGAAATTGGAATATCCATCCATTCTCTCCTCGGCTGCTCGAACATTTCGAAACAATTTTGTACAGTTTGACCACCAAGACGTCTACCAAGATCATCCTGCAAATGCTCAATGGGGTTCAAGTCAGGTGAGTGGCTTGGTCAGACCATGACGGCCACCCGACGCTGCTAGAACCACTCTTTGATGTAGCGAGAGAAAAGTTTAGGATCATTATTCTGTTGAAATAAGTATCCACGCCGAGCAAAGACTTTGCAAACGGAAGCATATGGTTCTCGAGAATGTCTTTATACGCAAATCGATCCATATTTCCTTCGATTCGACGAAGTGGGCCAGCTCCAGAAGCAGTAAAACATCCCCAAACTATCACGCTTCCTCTTCCATGTTTCACTGTTGGTAATTGACGCTTTGGATCGAATCTTTTGCCGTCCGAACACCTCACAAAGGTAATACCATCAGTTCTGAGCAACATATATGTACTTCGATTCATCACTCCATACAACCTTTGACCATTGTTGAAAAGTCCAATTCAAAAGCTCCTTATCCCACTTCAATCGGGCGCGGCGTTTCTTCTCCGAAAGGAGTGGTTTTTTGACTGACCGACGTCCAATTAATCCAGAACCACGTAAACGACGCTTGACAGTATCAACGCTGATCTGTATGTGACTTTTGGTGAAAAAAAGTCATGGTTTTTCGGAAATATCTACGTTGACATCATAGAACTGACTCAGTTGTCGCCTAATCTCGGAATCGGATAGACGCGGGTTGCTCTTGCTGATTCCTACAATGGTGCGATTGATTGCCGGGGATGTTTTGGAAGGATTTCCAAGTGGTTTGGAATCCGATCGAGATTTCAAACATCCACAAATGGTCCAGGTCGATGAGTTCAACTGGTGTGATAGACATTGGATGAAAAGACCTTGTGCTCGGCCATCCTTGATTGCTTTAAAACGTCTGATAGAATGTTTTTTGATCATTTTGATCGTCTCCTGCTAAAACAAATAAAAAAAACTGATGTTAACATTGAAAATCTAAAAAAAAATCGAAAAAACTTAAAAATTAAGAAAGTCGCATTTTTGAAAATACGCAAAAAAGGTCCAAAACACAAAAATTGCGTCTATAGTATCTCAAATCAAATTAATTATGTTTGGGAACACACTATCCGTGTTGTCCAGAAATTTCAGATCGATTGGTCAATTTTTCAGAAAGTTATGATAAAAAAAGTGAAATTGTATATCTTACTGCACGGTACTGTATGTGCATTCGCTACGTCATTCATTTGAACTTTAGAACATTCTGAGTAGCACAAAATCGAGTGTTATCTAAATCACTAGATGCACGCTGCAAATTATGTGTAAGCATTCAGGAATTTGAGGAAGGGAAATAACTATACAAAAATGTTTGGAATTTCAGGAAGTCGAGTTCAAGATGCGTCAGCAAGAGTTTTGCTCGAGCTAACCTCGCCGTTAAGGGAATGCCGAAACAATGTTGAAATGATGAATAAAATATTGAGTGTTGCCGGTAATTAGAAATGCAAATTATTAGACGACAAGTCGCCGATTTCAGATGAGGTCGTTCGCCGTGTGGCCGCCGTGAATCGCAATCCGATTCCGACCACAACTCAGCTCATCAATCGTTGTGTGGCACAGTGCAAAACGCTTGGAGTTAAGCCCGAAGATGACTGGGGACTCGATTTGAATCCCGACGATGTCGGATTCCTCCTCAAACACCTCATTTCTCGCGGACATTTCGCTAGTGACAAAAATCTCATTTTCCATTATTTGTAAGTCGTTCAATTGAGTTTGTCGTGATTCATTCCATATTTCAGTGGTTCTCATTAATCCGACGTCTGCCGGCGGCCCTTCTTTGATACACTTTGATCGTCGATTTCACCTTTTCATCTTCTCAACTCCCATACATAATTTTTGTTTAATTTTTTATTATTTTGTGAAAAATTCTTTTCTACTTAGTTTATTGAATGAATCACATGATTGTGTTAATGGCCCCAGTCACTATTCCCTAATACATTTTATCGTTTAAAGAGCCTTAAGTCGAGTTCTTGAGTTTGGTGATAAGTTCCTATCAGTTGTTCTAGCTGGTTTTTAGATTTTAAATTGTCTCTCTTATAGATGCTTCGGTTGTTGGCTTTAATTTTCGCGATCTTATTCTGTTATTCCTATTCGAAGGGTAATTATTTTAGATTATAGTGGGTTGATTGGAATTTCATATTTTTTAGAATGTTATGTGACACCATGCACAAGAGATGTCATAATTATGGTTGATGGATCGTTGTCAATGAAAAATACCGACTACATCAATCAAGTATTTTTTTTCTAGTTGAATATATCAAGTTGAAACAGTGCAAATAGAGCATCCAGGTCGGCCCGGGTCAATGGCCATGTTCTGCCCAAATATTTGATAACCTTATACAGAATAGAAAATACAGACATTCAAGTATTTATGCTTAAAAAATTAATTTTCTTTTTGCCGACTTTTTTCCGAAAATGAAATTACATATAACAATTATTTATTGAAAATTAATAAAATTTAGGAAATTTCTTTTGTCAATAAATTAATTGATGGATGGACATTGGCAAATGACAAAGTTCGAGTTGCTGTCGTTGGTGCTTATTTTGCCAACGAATTTCAAAGTTCGCCGTATCTTACGACAAGGTTATTCTTAGTAATCTTTAAAACAATGCCTATTGGTCATAAAATTCAGAAAGGATGCTTTGAACCGACTCGAACGATATCGTGTCTCGGCAACCCAGTACGGTTTGTACGATGGAACGTTCAGCACATGCGTTAGTTTCCTTGAGAGTGTTTATATGGGACAAAAAGCACTTTATGGTCCAAGAGAGAATATTCAAAAACGAATTATCATTTTCACGGCTCATAAGTTCGAGAAACGATCAGAATTCAAAATCAATCCGGTTTTTTTTGCAGTGATCCTGTGGATGTAGCATCGACAAAGGATTCGTTGCAAAGATTTGCCGATAATGGTTTTGCTGTCACAATTGTCGGAATCGGTTCACTTCAACCTGTATATTCATTAACCAAATATCACAGGGTAACTCCTTAGGGCAACTCCTTATTGGGCCTCATTCTTTTTTGCAGTTTGTCAATCTTTCGCTTGCCAATATGGCTAGTGGAAATCAAGCAATAATCAATGATATTATCGACAATGGTGTTTGCTTCCTATCACGTAAGAATTGTAAGATTCATTTGCATTCACTATTCGTTTTCAGCTGGCTTCACTACACCAAAACCAGAAATTTGCACAACGAGCACAACCCAAAAGCCAACGACGACGACATCCGCCAAACGGGATGGAACAACAAGGAAACCGGTGTTGAAATAATTGAAAAGATTAAATGAACTTAATTAGTTGCAGGTTCGACCAACACATCCGCCACAAATTGTGGGGGATTATCAGAATTGTAGCTGTCATTTGGACACATTATATGTAAAAAAAAAACACACATACCACGATTTCTCAAAAAATGTATTTTTTTCAGCTTGACATTGTTTTTGTTGTCGATAATTCAAAAGCTATGACTGATATGGGACTCGTCTTGGTAAGACCATATAATCGCATTGTATATCAAATAATGGTATACAATTAGGTGAAAGCGGAAATTGCAACAATTGTTGGTCAAATGAATATTGATCCGAGTACGAAACAACACTCCGAAATTGGACTAATCACATATAATGCAGAAGCTGAAGTAATAAATAATAATTACTACATATATATATATATATATATATAATTGAATTTACAGATTGTTTTTGAGCCGACTCACTTCACAGATGTCGACGATTTCAATGAAGCTCTTTACGAAGATCCAAGATTAGAGCATGTTTCGAATAATGTTGAAGTCAATCTCGTAGTGTACGCCTCTTTCTTTTATTTCCAGTGGTTTTTAAATTCCTACAAAACTCAGTTATTTGCAGCGGCTTGGAGAAGGCAGCAGACATGCTCGGAAATATGCGACGAGGTGTTCATAAAGCCGTTATAATTTATGCCTCCGCTTACAAGTTTGCTTCATCTGAAACGGCGATATATGAATACATTTCATGTTTAGAGATGATGGCGACGCGACTCATATTGCTGATCAAATTAAAGAGTCTGGATACGACATTATCACTATCGCCTATGTTGAGGTTGCTTCGATAAGCACAATTTTAGTTGCGAAATCCAAATTTCCAGCCGGATGAGTCGATTTTAGTCGAGAAAATTGGCGAATTGGCATCGCCGAGAATGAATTTAACATCTTATCGCGACGATTTGCTGGTCGATGAAATTGAGGATGCTCTATGTCAGGTGGAACTACTTTAATTTCAATTTTCAAATAAACGTTTTTGTTTTCTAAATTGTTGTTAGAACACATTTCGAAGAAATTGAAGATGAAAAAGTATACCAAAATTTGTTGAAAGTATTTTTGTATTCTTCTAGGTAAATTGTTATTGTCCGAATCAATGGACACAGCTGATAATCGACGGTCGCCGATTCAGTGAATGCTTTTTCGAAGTACAAATTGACGCTAATTGGATTTCCAGCAGGCATTATTCTTTGAAAAAAATAATTACTAGTAATGTATTCAGATATGCCTGTGAAGCTCTATCGAAATTGAATCATACTGGCGGAGGACATGTAGTTTATGTGAACAGTGAATTGAAACAACAATACCTCAACGATTATTTCATGAAGCATTGGAATGAGGAAACTCAAGTGATCGACTGTTTCATTTATCATTCGATTTTAACTTTTATTTTTTTTTTTAGGAAAATCCAAATTATGATATTGGATATTATTATGACGAAAATCTAAAGAAATTCGTTTGGCTCAATGGAGTAATAGTAAGTTTGATAGTTTATTTAATTACATGGCTGACAATTCGGTTTGACAACTACTGAAAACGGGGAACAATTCGTCAACTCATTTGAATCGCAAATCATTTTTACTAGTTCGCAAATTCCTAGCTTACATTTCCTCCAACTGGTTGCTCAATTATAAAAATGAAGGCTTCTTCTGCCTTTCTGGCTAATCAGACATATTTCAAAAGAGTCACTCTCGTCGTCTACCAGTCCCAAATCATTTCCCAATTTGACATAATTTGTTATAGGATAGTTCCTACACAAATTGGGACAATGGCCATCCAAATTTGAGTCTTGGAAAATGCAGCTACGCCGATCAAGTGGACAAAGTCAATAACATATTCAAATGGAAGAGTAGTGACTGTATCAAGGAAGAGGGCCGGTAGTTGTTCAAATATCCACTGTTCAACTCTTTCAAGCTTTTACAGCGCAATTTGTCAAGAAACTGCTTGTGACACCGACTATTACTGCACTCCCGTTTAAGATAATTATTTATTTTCAATAAAAAAATATCATGCAATAAGTATTTTACACCCGTTAGAAATTCTTCAAAATCAGGTTATTCCATATCACAGTAATCAGTAAGGAGAAATATGGCAGTTAACTGTATTTGATAAAATCGTGCAATGTTTTAAGTATTTCGGCATTTTTCACAAACTCTTTCTCTCTCATCAAGCGAGATGTGAAGACAACGACGGCAGAATATCTGAAAAAGGTTTCAATTATTCCTCCGGCATTATTTCTGTCAATATCTATTGCATATATGATTGATGTCATTTAGTGAGCTTAGCTTTCCCGAAAATAATTTGTTCTGACAAAGAGTTTGACAACGAAACGGTGATCGTCTCTCCTAACGTATCTCCTACTATAAACCTTTTTGTAATTGCATATAAGAACAAATAATTGACAAACGTGAATTTCGATTACCTTTCCACATTGATGACAATGAATTCTTCGATCAATCGGCGAAGCGAATTCTCCTCGACATGCGGGATTTCCGCATCGTTTGACACCTCTCAAAGGCTGCCATTTTAAGGCTGCTTTCGTGATCGTCTCATCCTGAAAACGAACACTAAAACAACATTAAAATGTTCAATTACGAACCGAATACAAACTAGAATCCATTACTCCACTTTCTTGACTCATCACCATTTCCTGTGTTGGTGACGCAACAACTGAAAGTGGGTGTTTCATTGTGTGCTCATCACCGGCGCTGCTCGTCCCACTGTCGACCATGTTCGACGAAGAAGAAGAGCACGAATTCGACGAAATTTGACATTTCAACTCGGCGAGTTTCATTCTGAGCTGTGCGACATGCGACTCGAGAACACCGACGTGCTCCATCGCTGCCATCGTGATGTCTTCCAATCTTTGCCTTGGTTGAAGCCCTTCGTCGAATCGGTTGTACAGTCCAACCCAAACTTGGAATCGCGCTGCACGCGTATCAATGTCAAGGAGAGAAACATGTGAAGTTGGCTGAAAAAAGAGCTTTCAGAATAGTTTGATTAATGGTCTAATTAACTTACAGCATAAAACGGATTAATGTAATCATCATGTCTTAAATCCATCCAAGACCAAAGCGATTTTGTACGTTTAGAAACATTTAAATCCTAAAAAATGAGTTAATATAAGTATCCACGTTAAATAGTCGAACCCGTCGATCTTTCTCACAATTTCCAATAAACGTGCCAAATTGACATGAGTACGAGTGCTCTTGGAGTTCAATCAAGTACCGCTCGTTAAACTAAACAAAAAAAAATTCTTGAAAATTTACTACCGTCTTCTAATTCAATTACTTGGAACGCTCTTGGTCGTTGTTGCATAATCTGCCAGACACAATCAAGGAATTGCGTGAACACCGGAGAGACTTCCTTCGCAGCTTCATCATTCAATGCACCAATATGTCCACATCGATCATCGAATTTGTGGCCAAAACTCAGCCAATCCTTTTCTATTAAAACCTAAACAACATGTTAGTTCGATATTTTAAAAGGGTTTATCTCGTGCCTGAAAACCATGAATCGTTCTATAATAGGGATCAAGTAGAAGCTGACACATTGACACAACTTGCGATGTTCGATCCCAACCATCGGAACAATGCACAACGCATGATGTTCCCCGACTGATGGACTCGGCCAAAAACAGAGAGCATTCGACGATTGCTCGAAGATGCTTGAGCCATCCACTTGCTTCTAGTGTCTTCCAATATTCTCCGACATCTCGACATTTCGTAACCGCTGAAATTAAAATATCAATTGGTTTCTTGCCTCCTCAATAGAACAAAATTTCAAAATGAATGCCCATTGTCTAGTTTCACCTGTTCCCCCCCCCCCAAAAAAAAAGAATATTTCTCACCATCGAGTAATTTCGCCTGACTTGTACGCATGACGTGAATATTCTCAATGTCGAAAAAGTGGAATCGCATGTTTGAATAATTGCGTTCGTCTTCGAAGCCTTTGCCTTGCACCTTATTGACCATTGCATTTACCTATATGCTTAATTTCTTTATAAGGAAACCCTGCAAACTACAGTACCCTTGGTCGTGTGTCCACCAAATACAACGATTCGCTGTTAGGATTCGCCTTTCCAATTAGTTCCATAAGCTTTTCATCTTCAACGCAGCGAGCTGAGAAACCCGTAAGCGGTTGCGCACATCTGCAAAGAGCGGCTTCACTCTGCCGATGATAGTAAGTGAGAGCCGGCAGTCTGCTTCTCGAACGGAATCGACTGCTTCCCATTAAGACAGATGTATTTGCCGCCGTGGGGAACCACAACTTATCTGGATAAGTATCGCACACCTGAAACAACCATCTATCAGCAATTAGAAACCAACTGGCATACTTGATAATCATTATTGATATCCGATTCGGACCATTTCGTCACAGGAACTCCTTGCCTCGTCATTTCGCTATTCCAATCGAGTCGCTTCCATCCTCGCATATCCTCGATAACATCACGATTCTCAAAAGCAAGCAACTCTGAGACGTTCACTGAAACTGCAAACAATCAATTACACTGGAACGCACAGCAATTCGCAATCTACCTGGTTTCGCAGCTCTCATGAGAGTCTCGAACAATTCTTGGCACGATTTGTCGCGACTTATGAGTAAGGAAATGACCTAGGAAAAAGCAAAACAATAAAAATCCCTCATTAGCGAGATATGCTAAATCGTACCTGGAAGTGTTTGCAGCGAATTATTAATAAACATCCAGCAGCAGTGAGATTACCTCGTTCGACCGAGGCAATTAATCCTGTGGCAAGCTGAAATCCACACATAATGTCTAAATAGCTAAGACAAAAAATAATATTGAATTACCCAGAGCTCTTTGGAACCATCTTCGGCCCGGAATATGATGTGAGTAGTAGTTACATGCACAGTGCCGAGAAGATTCGGCTGAACACCAAGTCGATCCACTAAGTATACATTGTCAACCTGAAATATCATGAATTTAGCTTTACATAACTTTTTAAGCTGGGTTAAATGTCATTTAAGTGTTTTGATTTTCAGATTCGCTCACCATCATGGCGATTCTGCCGTCTTCTCCATAGTCGCAACCAGAGAGTGGCGTTTCTTTGCGAATCAACGAGTCAATTAATACATTTATCTTATCTTTAAGCAACGATCCGGCAACAGTAATGTCTTCCGTATAACCGGCCCCAAGAGGCGTTATCGCCGTGTTGCCGGCCAAAAACGTTGAGCCCCACGACGACGGTGCATTCGTTGAAGTCGGAGTCGATGAGCCGATCGACGGATAAATACCCGATAAAGACATTGTGCTCCACCATGAGGTCAGTGGTGTCGACACCGTCGGCGGTGACGTCGACATTGTCTTTACATTCGTTCAGCGCTTAGCTAAAGGCACGAATTGATGAACATGCACAAGAAGAGAAAGAGATATGACATCATTTCGAGTCGAACGAGTAGCAATAAGAAAACGGTAGAGTCAGAGAAACCCCGTTATTTTCCCAGTAATGGAAGTATGAATTCGTAACAATATTCGGACAATGCTTGAAGGGAGAATCCATTAAATAGGCGTAACCAAGGAGATTTGAGCGAATACCCAAATGTATTAATCGAGACGTCGATTTGAACAAAATTCTCAAAAATGAAATCATTTCTGTCTTAACAATGAAAAATTAGGCTATATATTTAATATAAAATAAGATATTTAAGAAGAAGAAAAAGTCGTATCCATGCAAAGAGTTTCAAATAGCATCCGATGGTGAGTATTTGAATCTGAGCTCATACGAGATGTAATTCAAAACCCAACGGTGCGGAATTCAAGCAATGAATTGATTTTCTTGTTAACGCCCAAACATCAAACTCTATTGGCTATTTACTATTATTTAAGCTTGACTAATATTAAATGAAGGAGAAAAGTTGTCGCGAAAAAAACCACACACAACAAAAACAAAATTCTTGAAAAATGAATGAGACAAAAGAAGGGCAGATGAATAAAGGACACAGAGCAAAACTGGTGAAAAATTGAGAGAAAAGTAGTCAAATGAAACCAAAAAATGGAACGACGCGTCAACTATGCATATTTAATTTGTGCGCTAAATTTTTCATTCAACTAGCGAAATTCTTTAATGAAATTCGTCGCACAAATGCGAAGAGAAATGGAAAGAAAATGAAAGTTTGCGCAAAACCGAAGGAGCCGGAGAAAAGGGGAACAACTCCGAGGGGCCTTATTCGATAAACGGACCTTCATCTGTTATTTCCCCCTTTCATTTGCACCTCGTTTCTCTTCTTCGTCTTCTTTATTTTTCACACTTGCTGTTTTTCTACCTCACACCGCCACTATATTGAAAAAGAAAAAAAAACGGGAAATGATGGAGAAAAAAGGTCCGTGCGGTGGCGGTGGCGACCACGAAATAAATGAAGAACGCAATTCGGAAGGCTAATCCTTTGGGAGTCGTGCTCGACCCCATCAACTTCTTCCAAAAACAAATGAGCGGCAAAAAAAAAACAATAGAGCAAGTGGAATCAAGTGTTGTAATTGCGAAACCCTTTGGGAAAATGGAATGGTATCCAAATATGTTGAAATGGAGACCCTTCAACAACGCTGGAAAGAAACAAAAAATGAGATGCGGGACAACGGATATGCGATACTACCAAAAGCGCCGCTCGTTTTTTCTCTAAGCTCTCATAGAGTCTCGTCATGCTTTTTATTGCTATTCAAAGTGAAATGAATGAAAAAAAAAATATATATATATATTCGAATTTTTAATCGAATCAGACTCGCGTCAATAAGATATCTAACCATATTTGGATACTCTTTTAGCGCCGGCACCACATGCATGAAAAACAGCAATTATTGTTGGTCGCGAGCAGAAAATACGCAGAAAAAGGGATGAGGAAGAAAATAAACAAAACAGAAAACATTACAGTTGAACACGGATATTAAAATTTAATCATTTTTTTCGTTCAAATAGGTGACCCATTTCGATTCCTTAAATATTCGATATCTGATTTGTTCAATTCAATTTTCAGCGACTAAAGACTGGCGATAGTCAGTTTTCAAGGGTTTCATTTATTCCCATTTCACAAAATTTTCAATTTTGGCGCTAATGTATTTTTACAAATTTTAACGAAAATGTCATTTATTTCATTCAATGAATTATACATTCATTCCACGTTTTGAGCGAGAATCTCCTGCTAAAAATCCATTTTTTTTCAATTGTAAACATAAAATACGTCTGAAAAATAACTTTTTCTTGCCACACAAAACTATATTAACATTCGCAAAAACAAGGCTATTTATGCTCGTTCTGAACACCTTTTCTTAAATGAAAAACAGATGTTTCTTGAAAAATTATATTATATCGCACGAAAGCAAACATTACTGGAAATAAAAAAATAACGCGAAAAGTAAAAGGACAAGCACAAAGATTTTTACGCGATAATCTTGGATAATTCTTCTATGTACTTGTCTGTCAGTCAGCCGGCTAAATTGAGCAGAAAATAGGAGCAAACGAATGCGAAAAGGAAAAAGAACAACAGCGAGTTGATGGATACGATTTTTGCATTTTGGAAAAGAGTTGGTTTTGGGATAAATTGAGATGAAGCAACGGATGGCATAGTATTCCATTTTTTTCACACGATACAACATATTTGCTATAAACACTTGGATAAATTTAAACAATTGTGATTCTAAATGATTTGTAGAATATTTGCAACGATTAATTTAATTCACTTTCAATAATCACTATTTTCGTTTTCCGGAAAACAAATGCCACACGTGGATGGTATCGAAAAAAGTTTCTAATTTCGAGGCAATTTAAATATAAATCTGGCACTTCACAAAGAAACTCAAAAAACTAAATGAAATATTATTGATTTATTCGTAGAAACGCGGCAAAATAATCATCATTCCTCTCGAGATTAAGGCGCGTTTTTTGAAATCAATAAATTATTCGACTTCTAAATATCTTTTTACATTTTCCAAGAATCATTTTATCATTTACATCCGCAATGTAACATCTCGGATAAATTCAAGGAAAAATATCTAAATTGAATATTCTTTAAACAAAACAGTAAAGATACGTTTAAAGCGTTGTATAAACTCCAAAATTTTTGTGAATCGATCATTTTCTTTGACTTGTTTTCAGCTTTCACAGATTTCATGTCAAATAATCATTTCCCAATTAAAATTTTTAAAAACGAACCTTTGGTGTAATAATATCCTCAAATCGCATAATTTGCCAAACACTATTCGTCAATCAATAATATATTTCCAGCAATGTGTGACAATAGCTGTAAATGCCAATACCATCAAATTTTTCAAAATAAAAGCAGCGCAAACAAGAAAAAAATGAAATTAAGAAATTTTGCGCGTCGGTTAGAGTGCATTCGGTGTAAAATATACCAACGGTGGTCACTAACGGCTACTCAAAACCAATTTACTGGGATCGTGCCGAATCTTGCAATAATTTATTTTCTAATAAAGGATGATCGATAAAACACGTTCACTAGATACAATATACACATTCAAAAGTGAATAAACAGAAAGAAATTTAAATTAAAAAAGATAAGACTCAATTAAGTGCGATAAATTTATTTAGACTTTCTCGAAAAGAATGGCGATTCCTTGTCCTCCTCCAATGCAAGCCGAACCGATTCCGTACTTTAAATTCTTGTTTCTAAGAATATCATAATTAATAAAGAAATTCAAGAGAATTTGAAAATTCGTTGATAAATGAATTTTTCGTTTACTCACTGAAGCTCATGAACGATATGAGTAGAAATTCTTGCGCCGGAAGCGGCAAGCGGGTGTCCCAAAGCAATAGCTCCTCCATTCGGGTTCAATTTCTCTATTGGAATTCCCAATTCACGTTGAACAGCGAGTGCCTGTGGAGCAAAAGCTTCATTCACTTCGAACAAATCGATATCGTTGATTTTAAGACCGGAAAGTTTAAGAACTTGGCGAATAGCTGGAGCTGGACCAATTCCCATGATGGTTGGATCACATCCTTTAAAAAAAAAGAACATCAAATATGAAAGTTGAATATGGTTTTCTTACCAACGGCGGCATAAGCAACAACACGGGCCAATGGTTTCAATCCCTTCGCCTTAACAGCATCTTCTCCGGCAACAACAAGAGCTGCAGCTCCGTCAGAAATTCCCTACAACTCATATCATTGCTCAACTTCTTATAGGGAATTAATTCTACCGAGGCGTTTCCAGCATTGACGAGTCCGTCTTTCTGGAACACTGGCTTCAGTTTAGCGAGACTTTCAGCGGTAGTTGGACGTGGGTGCTCATCAATCTTAAAGTAATTGTTCTTATAAAGAAAATAATTTTTTTCATATTTTTTCTATTTCAAGAATAAATATTTCGTATAAGGACAGACCTCGAACGATTCTTCTCCTTTTCTTCCCTTTACGGTAATTGGAATGATCTCGTTTTTGTAAATGCCCGCGTCTTGTGCTTTCTTCCACAATGCTTGCGATCTCAATGCAAATTCATCAGCCTCCTGACGAGTGACCTTGTATTGAGCTCCGAGTTTCTCCGCAGTCTGTCCCATGGCAAGTTTTGCATACGGATCCGAAAGCGAATCCCAAAGCATATCCTCGAACTCATATTTGACACCAAGAGCAGTTCCAAATCGAATGTTTCGCACCGCAAATGGGACCATCGACATGTTTTCAGTTCCTCCAGCTAGAACAATACTGGCATCGCCGAGCTTGATATATTGCGATGCGTTAACGATCGACTGGAATCCAGATCCGCAAAGTCTGTTGACCGTGAGCGCTCCGACGTTTTGTGGAACTCCCGCCTTCAATCCAATATGTCTCGTCAAGTAGATGCCATCTCTCGAACTAGCAACGACATTACCTAATATGATTATTTACAAATCGTTGTCTCTTTTAAAAATACCAAATATGACATGATCAACGTTCTCGGCTGAAACATTAGCGTGTTTGAGAGCCGCTTGCGAAGCATAAACTCCGAGTTCAGTAGCTGAAATATTCTTTAGCTTTCCTCCAAATGTACCGAACGCCGTTCTTTTGGCTCCAACAATGAATACGCCTAAATGTGAACAATTTATTGCATTTTCAGTAGGCGTATTTCCTACTCTTTCCGGCCATGATTCCGCGAAGAGAAGCTGAAAGAACAAAAAGATATTTTTGTTGAAACCAGAACGCGACAAAAAACAAACGAACATGATCGTATTAATGGCGGTGCTTGAGAGAAACGTGTATCGCAGCACAACGATAACAATGAGAAAATGAGAGAATGAGAAGAGGCGAGAATAGATAAGAATGTACAACGAGAGCGAGTAGGTCACAGATACATTATCATCCGAACTGTGAATTATGGACTTTGACCTACCCGTTGGCTACATTATTCCTTTCATTTGACAATGTTGCAATAGATAGGAGTGTATTTCAACCAAGATCACTCAATTAATCATCCAATATAATGTGATTTATTTATTGTTTTAATCAAAGCAAATAGAACATCCCCAAATTAGTTCATATGGGGAAACAACTTCGACAAATTAAAATAAATCTGATTAGAAACAACATTATATAATATGAAAACGATAACAAACGAGGAATGGTCAATTCATCCGCTGAACTCCGGTTTCTCCAACGGATCAACTGCGGGAATCGAAAGTTTAGCCTGAAAAACAACACTATTTCAAATACTTACTCAATTAAAATCATAATTAGTAATTTTAGATATACCATAATTATTAATAAATTTAGTGATCGCCTACCATAATTATAAGGGAGATTAGAAAAAAAGACAACTAGACCTTGACTCCAGATCCTGTCTTGGATTGGCAGCTCACGTGATCCTCGTAGCGAAGCATGTCGAACAGCGGTCTTGGAACGTTGTTCGGAATATCCGGGCTCAACAATTTCTGCTTCAAAACAATTCCAATTCTCATATTGGCCTCATCATCATTCGCATTTTTAGTCCAAATGCTGATCTTAGAACCCTTTGCGCGCATATTGCACACAACTCCGCAGATTGAGTCCATATCATCTCCAAACTGTTCACCAATTAGCGCCATCAAAATCTCCAACCAAATTTGGTCAATCATCTCTGGTGGCCTTCCTTTTTCAATATTAATAAGCCAACGGCCTCCATGTTGGTTCTCTGGAACCTGTAAATAGATATAGTTGAATAAATGCACTTTCAGCTGTTTGTTATTACCTCCCACATAGGTTGAATATTATGACGGAAAACACTGTAATCGCAAGAAGTGTTCAGTCCGCTTGGTGGTTTGATGGCATCATATAGAGCCCAAAACTCTCCAACACTTTTGAAAGTGAAAACATGTTTGAGCCTTTCTTCCCAATTCATGTTCTTTTCGTCGCTCAAATACCTACAAACGGATCTTGAAAACCCCAAACAATTAATAAAATAACTAACCACCACCACCAAGCTCTCTTCAATGGATACAACGGAGTAGTATTCAACGCCGTGGTTCCGTTCTCTTCGGCATTCGTTTCATCAGCCATGACAAATGAAGACAACTATTATACAAAAATATATATATATATAATATGACCTATAATAATATCAAATAGTAAATGGTTTATAACCAATAGTAATACAATAATGATTAAAAATAACTTTTAAAAAATTGTTTATTAACTATTAGCAATTAATCATCGCTCACTTTAATCGATAATTTAGCTTTGACGACAGATCCTGTCTTTTTCATACAACTGGCATGATCTTCGTATCGGAGGACCTCGAAAACAGGGCTTTGCATATTATTTGGAAACTCGGCATTCAATAATTTCTTTTTGAGAACCATTCTGAAAAATAGACGTCAAACGAATGAAAACTGTATAGAAAAATTACCCAATTCGAAGGTTGGCATCGTCATCATTCGCATCTTTTGTCCATACGCTTATTTTGGATCCTTTTCCTCTCATGTTGCACACAATTCCACAAATTGATTCCATATCCTGATCGAACTGCTCACCAATCAAGGCGATCAGAATTTCCAACCAAATAGTGTCTACCATTTCTGGTGGTCGTCCTTTTTCGATGTTTATTAACCACCGCCCGCCATTTTGATTTTCCGGAACCTACAATATAAAAAAATAAATAAGTTTAACTAAAAGAATAATCTTCCAGTTTTAATATCTCACATAAGCTAAAAAAAAATTCAGAAAATAAAAGAAACAATTCTAAGTAAGATGACAAAACAAAAAGAATGGTAAATGAACAATTCCAACGTCGTTTCAATTCCCCATCAATCAGTTAACAGATAATTAATATTCAAATTGATTATGATAACGATTGCAAACGGACCTCCCACATTGGCTGTATTCCATCGCGAAAAACACTGTAATCGCACATTGAGTTCAAACCACTTGGTGGTCTGATTGAATCATAAAGTGCCCAAAATTCAGGAAGCGCTTTGAACGTGTAGACCTTCTTCAGTCGTTCTTCCCAGTTTTTATTGCGCTCGTCATTCAAATACCTGAAGTGTCATTTTTCACAAATAATTATTTTCATGTTTCCTTACCACCATGTCCATTGCCTTTTGAGTGGATATAGAACATTGTTCTCCTGTTGACGATCATTATTTCCTTTTTGCCGTTCATCTGTAAAACGAAAATAAGAAAACCACAAAAAAAGAGAAAATTCTAAGTATTTAGGTGGCAGAAGCACCATTAAAAATATGAAAAATAAACAAAACTGAATAAGTTCATTCTAAAATGATGTACCATTTGTTTCAAGAGCTCCTGCCATAGAAGTCATGTCGTAAGTGTCATCATCGGCGAACATCGCAATAGAAATTGTACAATAATGAGCAACGACACAAGTTTTACAATCAGGTTCACTTAATATAAATCCAAAATGAAAAAAAAAATGATTAGTGATGACACGCGTAGAACCAAACCAGCTGGAAATAAATCAGAGGCTAGGTCACGTTGAAAAATTTACAAATTAATTGTAGTTTTCGAAATGTACAGTTTTAAACATCGTATTCATCATCTTTAGATGTTTCTGCAGGCGCAGCGAAGAGGCCTGTATTTGGAGAAACAAAATTGGCTTGCAATTGTGCTTGTTCGAGTTCCTGCTGACGAGCCTGAATGCAATTTCATTACTTCAAAAATCCTTTCTTCATTTAGTACTTTTTGAATAAGCTCTTGCTGCATTTTATACAATTGTTCTTCTGGAATTCCACACTTTTCCAAACGCGAGTTCTTTCGCCTTAGTTTCTTCTCAGCTTCTACTTTACAAGCATCAAGAACACTATCGGCAGCTTCGAGATAGTCTGGTGGGAATCCTAAATTCTGCAAGGCTTTTTGCACGTGCTCGTGATAGATTGTCTTCCGTTGATCTTTGCTCGCTATGTTTTGAGCTTCGCGAGCAACGTGCTTGACAAATTCCACACAACACGCGTTTACAAGATCTCGCGATTCATTTGCAATTCTCATCTCTGGCACAACTTCCTACAATTAAAATTAAATTGAATTTTCAGTCGAAAAAAATTGAAGGAGTTATGCCTTGATGATTTGATTGATCCCCTTCTGAGGTAGTCCGACTTCACAATCATCCTCCATCGTTTTCTAAACCCCGCAAATAATTTAGAATCCCAATATTATATAAGAGGTAATATTATTTGTAACAAACATTTCACAATAAATTACATGAAGAGTATCAGATATTCATTGCAATAATTTAAACGTGGGAAAATTAAAACATCGGGCAAGCTTCATGCACAGGTTATTTTATTTAGCTGATTTTCGCATTTGTGAAATCCATTTCTGGGTGTTGATCCATGAACCTGGAAACAATTTAAATGATTTTATATTAATATTATTGAAAGGACTAACTTTTTAAGAATATCTTGTTTCTTTTTTTCATCAGAAGTTGGCAATCCCATTTCTTTTTGTCTTTGATCGTACATCATTTTCTCAACCATCGCACGAGTTTCGCCATCCAAATCACTCAACTTCGAATTTTCTGGTTGTACTTTTTTCGTGTCAATTATAGGATCAGTATCAAACAGTCGATTCCACCATTCCATGTCATTACATTTCTCCAAGGTCAATACCACCGCTTTTCCATTGTCGATTACCCAGCTAGAGCTATCGACTTTGATCTGAAATTTAGAAAACACTGGTTAAATCTTTAATTAAAAATTTCTACCGGCGCATGAAGGTTGCCCTCTACAATCGCTGGTTTTCCTTTCAATCCAATGAAAATTCTTTGCTTTTCAATCTTGACCACAGCGTCGCGAGCACGGACTGGATATGGAACGTGGAACGGAATTCGCGCCTCGACTTCCTGGAGAGTTTGGGTCCATTGATATTTCTCCAAATCAGCACCATTGCCAGAATTAGGTTCCATTAAATTGCTGTCTTCCTCATTTTCACCCTCCTTTGGAGAAGTAGAAGGTGCGGAACTTCTGAAACTAGGTTGTGGATCTCTTTAAACATGTAACTCGCGTACCGCTTTGATTTTTGGCGCTCGAACTCAGCCGCTTCCTCATCGGTGACTTCCACAATTTTGCTTTCCGCATTGCGACGGAATTCTTCTTCTTCCTTCGCCTTCTGAGCTGCGCGACGTTCGGCCAGTTTTCTTTCTTGCTCTTCTTTTCTTCGTCGATTTTCTTCGGCTTCGCGTAGGGCTTCCTTGCTATGCTTGTCAAATTTTTCAAGAATAAGTTCTCTAGCCTTGTCGATACCAGCACCGCTATAGAAGTCAGTTTTCCTACAAAAAATGAAGATTAAATAAATAAATTGGTAGTGACGAAATGTCGACAAATCAATAAAATCCTAAATACCTGGACAAAAATTCGAAAACGACGTCCAAAAGTTGCGGAACTCCCCCAGGAAGTTGCTGAGCAAGAGAAAAAAGAACGTTGTCGAACTTTCCACTGTCGGACATTTATATTCACCTTTGATAAACCCTTAAAAATTTTCTATGTGAAAAGCCTAAATTCCAATGAAGTGTAACAAAATGATAACCAAAAGACAGAGGGAATTTTTTCAGAAAAGTAGGAGACCAACTGATTTTCAAAAAAGTATTCTCTAAATATAAACTGGCAAATTTTTTTTTTGATAAAGGTAAAACCAAACGTGAAAACTTCGACTTTCACAAAAGCAAAAAAGGCGACGCAAAAGTCGAACACTGGCGCACATTTGGCGCTGTCATGAAAGCAAACAAGCGGGAATTCAAATTTTTAAAAGAAAATAAATTTTCGTACTTGAAAAAACGTTCGCATATAAAATTAACATTCCAAATAGGATCAGATAAATAAAAACAAAATTAGTGCACATATCAATTGATAATTAATTATTATATTTCAAGATGAATTGGCCTTTCGAGAAATAATCACAAAATAAAACATCTCGGCAAATTCGTCGGTCGGAATAACTAATTTTGATAGAAATTATGGAATAAGAATAAGCAAAAAATTGTTTGTTTTTCTCAAAGCGTAAAATAATGCGCGTTTCGACGAAACCGAGAAAAACCACCTGTTTTTTTTTTCGATGAATTTGGCGCTCAACAAATCATGGCATAGAAACGGCGAAGAAAAGAAATGTCTCCGCCTCTCAAAATCAAATATTCTTTTTATCAGCATTTCACCGAAACTGTGAGCGAGTGCGTCAAACATTACACATGCAAGAACGAGTATCCATCGTGCTTTTTTTGGAAGGAGCGATAATTCAAATTTGAATTTAAACAGTGGAAATTCGTGTACCGTACTACAGATAACCTGCGAATCAAACTCATCGTAAATCGGCACACGGCGCTCGATTCTCGGCGAATTGAACAAGATTAAAAAATATGTTTTTTTTTCCTTACATTAGTAAAATACATATAATATTTTCTTTCGCAATGCGGAGACGAATTATAAAAAAGGAAACAAATCAATTTTAATTTTAAAATAAAATAATGACCATGATTTTCTTTTTTCATTTCACTGCATCGCCGCCTAACTGAGCTTTGTACTATTAAATCGATTTATTTGAACAACCTGTAGAGTATGTTCTGACCTGCAAATGTTAGGAAGCAGTTTGATCGAGATTTGAGTGTTTCGAAATAGATTATCGAGCAATTCAAAAACAATTCATGTATTTACAAACGCACTGGCAACATGAACATCCATTGCTGTTCCTCATCATCCAACAACATATATTACATGAAATGGGATAAAATTACTAATGAAAACGGGGTAAAAAGACGTGATAAAATTAATTTAAAAAGAACAAATGAAAAAAAGAAAGCTCTCAATACGGGGCAACAATAAATTCGAAATAAGCTATGAAATAGAGGAAAATGTGAATCAGTTAGAATTAATTCATGAGCTATTGTCTTCGAATGGGCATGTTCGGAGGGCCGGCAAGGTTCAAATTGCTTGACGTGGCTGGCATTGGATTTGTTGCGGCTTGATTTTTCTGCGTTAGTGAATCTCCCATCAAACGTTCGATCATGGCTTTGGCGTACTTGATACGATGCAAGTATTTCTAGAATGACAATAAATTAACTACTTTCAGTAATTATTAGCATTACTTCGGGGCATCCATTGACTTGAAGATTTGAGAACTTGTAAACGAGCATTCTCTTCTGTTGGTCTATAAACGTCACTGCCTGCATCAAAGGGCACATCATCATCTTAATATGATCGTTGAAAAAGTTAATCTGGACAGTTCCGTTAGACAAGTGCAAAACTATGGCAGATTTGGTTCGGAACCAAACTCGGAGTGTCGGAAGACGAGCTAAATCATCACCAGCCTGAAAACACTTTTGATATATTAATATTGTTTAAACTCTTACTCTTTCTGCTAATCCCTCTCCAGCTTTCAATAGATGATCGTTCATGTATGACCGGAAATATTTCAGAAGCGTCACTTTCTTATTTAGAGAAGCAGGAAGCGCGCTATTCATTGAATAATAATGTTCTTTATTATTCTTTTCAATATATGTCAATTCGTTTCCAGCTTCGTCGAGCATTATACGCGAATTATCGTTGAACAAAACTCCGACCTTAATGATTATATTGATCGATAAAGTATTAGGCTATATGTTACCGAGTTGTCACATAATTGATATCCAATGCCATATTTATCCGAATAATCAACCCATTTAGAAATCCAGAAAACTGGGAGTGCTTCTGGCGACTGATAATCGTCAAGAACAGCCTCAGCTTCTTCCAACTTAAAACAATTCAATAATTGAGAACTAGTATTACAGGGTGCGGCAAAATTACTTGTGCACGAATTTAATGCAAGCCAAACGAAACTTACGTATTGTTTTTTGCACATTTTGATTTTATTTTCTGTGAGCCTTTAATCATGTCTTTTTAACCAAAAAAGGCGATGAAGGCGATTTCAAACATCCTCGGAGTGCACCGAAACATCTTACAAAACACTTGGAAACAATTTTAGGAGGCAGGACTCACTAACCGTCATAAAAAAAAAGAGGAAGACAACGATCTACAGTGACCCCGGATCGAGTCAAGGCCATAAGTGAACGAAGACGTCGAAATCCAGATCGGATCATGAGAAAGATGGCGTCGATGTTCATGTGAATGCAAAAAGCGTGAAATGAATTTTCAAAGATGAGATGAACATGTTACCTTATCGCGTCAGAAAGGCGGCCATTCTATCTGAAAAAAATAAAGAAGCTCGACTGAAAAAGTGCAATACGCTCCTAGCTGGCACGAGGAAAGGAGACCATCTGAGAAGCTATTCACGGTAAAAGCTGCATTCAATCCCCAAAACCACCGAGTCCTCGTCAGGACCTCTGAGGAAGCTTTGAACAAAGACAGAACCATTCATCCTGCTTCTGGCGTGAAGATTAGTCAAAAGAATTACCTTAACGAGATCTTGAAGAAGACTAACTTTCCTTGGTCCCGAACTCACTTTGATAATCGATCTTGGACCTTTCAACAAGACTAAACCCCTGTTCATCGAGCAAAACCGTTCAATACTGGTATGACAACCATTTTCCTCATTTATAACGTCAAAGGAATGGCCAAATTCAACGCCCGAATTGAACCTTATGAACTACTCTGTTTGGGGGGGGGGGTCTTGTATGAGAAGACATCAACTTTCCCACGTTCAAATTTGAACCCGTTAAAAGCAAACCTTCTGAGCGAATGGGACAATTAGAACGTCAATTACGTGTGTACCACCATAGACGTGAAGCGTCTTAAGGAGGATATCAAGAAGTCGAGGAGGAATAATCGAACAATGTTGATTAATTCGTTATTCTCATATTTTCTATGAATTGTGGTGTCAATTTGAACGAGTTTTGGTGTTTTTTGGAAAAGTTATTTCTTTTTTCGATGCACACGTAATTTTGCTGCACCCTGTAAATTCTTACTTCTGGAATTCGTCTGTCGAGAAGTTCGCAGACTTGCTGATATAAATCGGACAAATACGCATCATTCGGCTCTCTAAACGTAGCTTCCGATGCTTGTTGTTGTGCTCTTTCTCTGTCAGTATTTGCGGAAATGCGATATTGTGGAATTGGCGCAAGTCCAACTCTGCCAGTCGGCTTCGGGGACTTCATTTCAACAGTGCCACCCGGTGAGATATTTTCTTCCATAAATGATTGATCGCGTCCAAATTTCGGCACCATAGTAAGACAAGAAACAGGCAATCGCGATGGCATGAACCCACTCTTGAAGAAAATATCTCGAAGAATCTGTTTTGCTGTTGGTCGTCTGCCTGGCACTGGATCGAGCATTTTACGAATCAACGCCGCCGCCGAAGCACAACTAGTTTTCGGAATAATGTAGTTATTATGCTTAATGCGTGAATAAGTCTCTTCCAAAGATTTTGATTCAAAAGGTGGGTGACCGAAAAGAAGGATGTACAAAATGCATCCGACGGCCCAAATATCGACTTCAAATGAGTGACCAATTTTGTTCAATACCTCAGCTAAATTATGAAACGTTAATATTACGATTGGAACAGTGAAACTAACGTGCAATGTAATTTGGAGTTCCGCATAAAGTTTTCTTTCGCTCATCATTTTCCACCGTTGTCGCCAATCCAAAGTCACCAAGTTTAACTTGAAGTTCGTCGTTGAGGAATAAATTGCCCAGTTTCAAATCGCGATGAATAATTTTTAAGTTGTGTAGATAAAGAACTCCTTCGGCGATCTGGTGGGTGAAGTATCTTGCTTCGGGTTCTGTGACAGCCTTTCTTCTTTTATGAAGTTCCATCAATGATCTTCTCGGGCACAACTCCAACGTTATGTAAACATTTAATCGATCCTATAAAATTGAAATTGGAATTTTAAACATAAATTTAAAAAAAACCTCAAAAAAATGATACAGCTTGACAACATTGGGATGTGACAAATTTCTATGAATTTGAACTTCTTGAGCCATTTTATCTCGCTGATATTGTTTAACGAGTAATTGTTTCGGCACAACCTTTCCGGCGAGAACCTCACGAGTTGCAATGTTCGTTATCTCATAGCAATGAGCAAAACCTCCTTTGCCGAGAAACCGACCTTTCTCATATTTGATGTTTCTCTCTGGATCAACAATAATTGCAGGAACCTCTGGAGGCGCCTTCTCTTTGCGAACTACCTTCGTCCTTGCGGTGGTTCCCGGACGATTCATCCTTAACTATTAAAACTAAATTAAAGATTGCATGGAATGCAAAATTCACACGTATTAATTTTGAGATCGATGGTAATGGTAGTTCATTTTTTGATTGCGTAAATATTGTGGATTTATTACCAACAAAATAGTTTTGGCGCAATTGCATTCCATCGATATGATCTGGTTTTTGTCATAAAAGTTTTGACCAATATTCACATAAGGTGTCAATAAGTTTTCTCATTATTCTTTTTCATCAAAAGCCTTCGTATACCGAGGTACCTTAATAAATAACAAAAAAGGGAATCTGAAGAAACAAAAGTTTCTACTAGAACAAGTCTGGATATAAAAGTATCGGCAAAAAATTTTAATGGAAAAAGTTTAATTTCAGTGAAATTTAAAGTGAAATCAAAATTTCAGTCATTGGAAGTGTAAAAATCGAGAACAGAAAATGAAAGTGCGCAGTAGAAACGGCGGCGCATACTGTTTTGGTGAAACGCTGGTGAAAAGAGTGTTTGAGTTGGTAAAAAATTGTGTAAATTTGAGAGAGAAACATTTCTTTTCTCCTGTATTTCACCGAAACTTGCTTTTCTCCGCTGCTTCTACAGCACGAATTGTTGGAGAACAAAGTCATGAAAATAATTTCCGGGAAATGTCTTAGCACGATTGATTAAAACGAGGGCAACATTGTACAATGGAGTGTCGTTTCATACAGTAAATGAACATGATTGTTAAGTGATAGAAGCATGATGAAAAACACAAAATTTGTATTTCAGTTCAATTACAGTCGTCAAAAATTAGGGCTATGCGCCGATTTACGGCGAGTTAGCTTTGAACGCTATCCCAGTACGGTACCCAAATTCCCATTATTCAAATTTGAATTACCGCCTCAAAAAGTGCAATGGTCCACAATTATTCAAGGCGTTTGTTTTTTTTTTAGCGATGGTAAATAATATAAATTTGATTTGTATTGCTGATATTTAATAAGGTCATCGCGATTTTCATTTTCTAATTTTTTTTCGAAAATATTTGTATATTGTAGAAAACGTTAAATGAACAATGAGAGATCCAATAGTAGGCCTTCGAGAAGGGCGAAGGTCAATTCAATGCAAAAAACTAGAGGTAATTTTGTGCTTTGCTATTCAATTAAATATATTTTTTCAGACTTTCTTGATAACTGCATTGTTTTGGAATTACCCAGATCAAGGAGTAACAAGGTTTTTATTATTTCTAAAAAGTTTACGTTAAGAGAGAGCTTTTAGGAGAAACGAACTAGAAGTGGCCGTATTGAACTCCCTATAATTATAAGTGATTCTGAAGATGATTCTGATGCCGTGATCGAATCAACAACTTTCGTCGATCTCTCAAATGTTTCGTAAGATTATCATTTTCATTGTTTAATTTTAATTACTTTAGACCAAAAAAATCAAGTTCGAAATGTAAAATGCCATGTAAAAAAGCGGATACTCTTAATAAACGAAAAAGAAAACGCCAATTCCAATATTCGTTGTCAACTTCTTCTTGTGATGGCAATCCCGTAAATGGTAAAGTAGCCAACAACGACCTACTTTATATTATTTTTTAAAGCATTAATTGATCCAGCTACTATTTCTTTGTCCAATATTTGTACGATTCCTGGTGAACGAGTGCCCGTTAATGAAAAGAAACGACCTAGAAGACAAAAATTGCCAAGAATTACCATTTGCGATAAACCGACTTTGGTACGAATCAATATTTATTTCTAGTAGTGACACGGTTTTAGTTTTTTTTTTACTAAATTTTAACTTCAACTTACATTTTTAACACAAATTTCTAGGATCAATCTTCTAATTACTATATACAAGAAGAACCTGGCTATCTAGAAGTTAATGATCCTAATAATTGCAATAATAATCTCTTTATCGATGAAGTTTCGATAGCTGTAAATGGATTGCTCGAGGAAGAATTTAATCAGAAATCGTTTACCGAAATAATAAGTGTAAGATTTGAATTCGTAATGGTTTATCCACCTATTCATGAACTACAACAATTTTTAAAATATGCATTTTACCAATGCAGAAATGTAAAAAAAATTCACTTTAAATGTTATTTTTATACATTTTTTGTTTTTTTTAAGAATAGAACCATTAGAGTTTTTAGGAAGGGTCATTTGAACAATCTTTCGAACCTTTGGAACATTATATGGTATGATAACTCCAAAAAGCTAAAATGATTTAATGTTCTAATTAAGGAAATAACGGATTTTTCATCATATGAAAATGAGGTTTGTGAATGATTTTGTTAAAAAGTAGAATCGCATTGCTTTCATATATATATATATATACATATATATATATATATGTAAAACTTAACCAAAAATGCACAATTTCTCAGCAATTCAGAATCGACGACGCTTCAAAGTTCTCATTTTAGGATGTTAGCGATTTAATATCATTCATCGAATCAGAGGAGTATGAACCTAATGATTCACGGACCATTAAATATTATACGGTAGGTAAAAAACAATGTGAAATCATTAGAAGATTTGGTAAAATTAAAACAAATGAAGCAAAATTTTGTATGAAATCTGCTTATTTTTCAGAATGTTTTCCCAACACCTTGCTACTCACCTGAAGATGGTCAACTACCGTCAAAATGTTCTTCAAATATTCTACGTAACATTTTTGCTTTTCTTAACATCTCAAATTAATTTTTCAGATATTCCATCGCCAACACATTTCGATGAGCGTAGATTTTCCAATAGCTAATCTGTTTTCAAGTTGACTCAATTTTAATTTTGCTGTATGTCTTAATGTAATAGCGTCCTTATCCCACTAAATTATTGTATATTTTTAAAACTACTATTCCACTGAACCAGATCCCGACAAGTCGATGATGCGATTGCGCAAATATCATGTGTCAAACGTCAAAAATCGAGATGCAAAAGCTTTGCGGCTCTCGTGATTTCGAAGCGAAATGCGATGATTACCGTAATTCGATATGACACCTTCCGCGCTGGTGCCATATGCACTTCGGCCCTCTTTTTGAGTGCGCGGCTCCGTATGTCGATCACTTGAAAATCGCCTAAAGTGCTAATTACACCCATCATCTCAACCACCACATCCACTTTTGGTGTTTTAATGTGCCTTTGTGTGTTCGCTTCGAGTTTTGTCCCCAAAATTTTCGTTGTCTTGTCCTACCTACACCCCTTTTCTGCCAATGTTTTATACATAAAATTTTCTAAGCTGGTTGCACTAGTCGAAATGCACCTTTTATTTTTGTTGTTGTAGGTAGTAGTAGATGCACATAAATCATGTTTCACTTAAAAGCTCGTCTTGTCCCATTCGTCTTGTTGAGACCCATAATTTGTTTCTTGCCAACAACTTGGATACGCTCAAAAAGAGCGCAAAATTCGATGTTGTTGGTTTAGGCACCTTTTTGGGGGAAGACGGGCATGATATTTGATATTCTCAAATATCCATTCATAATGTTTGTATATGTCCCAAACCCCTTGATAGTGTGAATATGTATACAATTTCTTTGATTTACGCCCACGAGAAAATCCTGTTTTTATTATGTATTTTCTCAATTTTTATTATTTAAAAAATCCCTTCAAAAAATAGATGAGATTACGCAAATCATTGTAAAAGTGAACAAAATGTAGATAGCCGTTTTACACTGTTCAAGTGATTCGTGTTAATTGAAGAAACATTTATGCAGAAGACAGATTATATCAATTGTTACTCGATTCGGCACATCATTAGAAATTCGTAATTGTCCGAGTCATTAGTGCCGCCCATCTGTCACAAACTCTAATTGTCGAATAGCTGACCGATACAGGTGAGGGAAGAAGGAATTATGGCAATGGTCATTTTTTGAGCTAAATGATTTCTTATATAATCTCAATTATAAACTAATTCTGTTAATTATCTTAAATATGGGATTTGTTGGACTATTCTGCAAAAATGTCGAATTAATCCGAGTTTCATAGGTTGATGAGGAATAGGATATTTATATTAGCAAGTTGGATAAGATAAAAAATCAATAAATGGGATGATTGATTTCGTGTTCCTTTTATATATTTAAATTTAAAAAAATGTGCAAGCCTCGGTTATTCTAAAAAAAATGCGACAAAAAATTTAAAACAAACATATTTAGAAAATAAGTCTGAAATTTTCTAACCAATTGTCCATGTTTTGCTGAATTTATATTATAAATGAGCAATAAACACAATGTGACAAGTTTTAATGATTGACTTTCCAAATTAGGTACTGTCTTGGTTTAATAACCGCAACCTTGACAAACTCCACCGTATACAATGCTCACTCATTAGAACCAGTCGACTCTCATTATGTTCGAAGGAATATAAAGTAATTAGTCGAGTAATTAGTCGAATCTGCGTGTCAACTCAGCGGGATAACTCTTCTTTTCCTTCCATCTACCATTTTTTTTTTGTTTAAACGTCAATTTACTATTTTTGCATTCTTATAAAGTGTATGTTGAAAAAAAAAGAATGAAAGAAAAGGAAACTGAGGAAACACGAATTTGAGACGGTTGATAGGCTCCAAATCGTTTTTCTTTTTGTTTTTCCTCCAATTTTCGATGCTATTTGATGCCTATCTCGTCGTTTTCTCTATCTGTGTAGCGAAGCTGCTGGGAGGGCCACCAGTTTTGAATATTCGAGTATATTTCGGCTCGTCGTCGTTGTAGTATTTGACACAAGAAAAGGTCGTATTTTTCAATTTATTTCAATGCGATGCGCGCACATACACACAGTCTTTTTTGTCGTTTCTGAAATAAAAAAAAACTTATTTTCTCGTCGGCATTCTCGCCGCCTCCTTCGTTCTTCTTTTCAAGATTTGTGGTGTTCTCGACAGGATTACTCGGCCGGACAGCTTGCGACGCGGTGTAGAAATTCACGTCAAGTTAACGAAATCGGGTTGACACATTTTCGTCATAACCGATCCTCTTTGTTACTCGATTCCAACAATAGTTGATAGATATGAAGTTGAAAAAAACTCACCAAAAAGGCGGCAAAAATCGCCTGATTTGAACGAATCTATATTGATATTAATTTTTTGTAAAATCGACCCCTTTTGATGAATATTATTTTATGGTCCCAATAATAGTTAATTGAAACCAACAAAATAAATTTTGATTCAATATAGAGCATTTATTTTATTTTAAGTAATCCTGCAGCCCTATTGAAACAATCTTTCGAACCTATAAAATGTCATTTCTGGAAATTTGAATATTGTGTCCCCTATTTGTTTCATATTAATAGTCCTATCAGATTTTTTTGCGTTTCTTGTCCTCTATCCAATTATTGCGCGTGCTCGCCTTTTTTTCTGTGAGCACGCAAATAAATCCCCTCGATGAATAGTATTTTTCCTAATCGCATTAGTATATAAAATTGCATTTTGTTGCACACAAATGTGTCGAAAAGATGTCACACGGGATCCAATAAACCCTCCCCTTTTTTGGGCAAAATGAAATTAGAAAAATTGAGGAGGCATCGATGTCAATATGTAGTTCCTACGACATTAGCGCTTGATATTTTATTTCCACGAGTCTAAATAAATGTAAAGTACTCGACAAATATTTTAAATTTTCAATAACATTTTCAGTATTTTCCAAAAATGCCGCACAATTTCGAATGGCTCTTTTATTTTGAAATTCCTCATCGCTTTATTGCTCCAACTTATCAACTCTGTAATATTTCCAAGCAATTCATAGAACTTGATTAGATAATTTTAAAACCCATAAATAGAAAATTGAGATAATTATTTCGGGAATATTCCATCTGTTGCTGATCCTTGTTGACAAATTCAATCTCAATTTGAAAACCGTGCCAGAATAGTCGTGGGAATCACACGCGCGAGCGCCAGCCCCCATCGATGTATGTTTTGTCACCAGCAACGCCGTGCGGACTCATTTCATCTCTCATATGCGATGTCTATCACTCAGAATCGCGAAGCTTGACATTAAAAATATGGAGAAGCTCGAGACAGAGTCGCCAAAAATGCACATTTATTTCCATCATGGTTATCGCTGCTTTTCCCTTTTCCATCCTCCCGCTAAGAATGCATCTTTCAGTTCTTTTAATAAGATGTCGCATTTCTTGCAGGGTCAATAGGATTCCGTGATATCATGAGTTGAAGGTTCAGAAGCGATCGCATCAATTACTTACAGTATGTCGACCTACTTACAATATGTCGTCATATTCACTGTTTTCGTTTTAAATTACGGTACGTCATCATTTGTCAGCAAATTAAAGAAAATGTATATTTCGAAAGTGGGGTTTGTGATATTTTTCTCAAATGTTTCTCGTGTTCTAATAATTCAAGCATAAATTCGTACACTTCCTTCATTCATTTTGATTGCTTTCATTTTTTTTTTCATTCTAGCTCTTGAAATCTCATTTTCTTGTCACGAAGATTAGAAATTGAGCCCTGTAATGGTTCTTACGTTTTTTTGTGAGGAATGACGGCAGAAGGTCATTAAAGCACAAATGTATATTCTTTATTTTTGATCTTATGTATAGGAAGGAGAATTGAATGACTATCTATTAAAGGGACATGAAAGGAAATATTAATGACATTGAATACGTTCGATTAGTGAAATGCGGATATTTATTTGAAACTTCTAAAATTGGCGGCGAATTTTTCGATTTTGACACCTGTAAATGTCAAATTGAATTACTTCAAAAAATGTTTTTTTCGAAAATAGAATTTAAAGTTGTTTACTCCAGCATGCCGGCTGAATTTAATTCTTCGTATTTTTTTTTTCAGTTGTATGCACCACGTGTCCACATTCGGTAAACTCTCAAATTCAAGAATGTGTGCAGCCGGTTGCCGAATACGCCAAAGTGCTCAACAATCACGACTCAAAAAGTGGGTCGGCCGGCTCCGAATTCGGCAGCGCATTTTCGCTTCCAAATATGGGTGGCCGCGTGTTTAACGATTTATGCAGGTCTGCATTTTTTTTTTGCGTGTGTGTGTCGCGTATCAAGTGTGCTCGTAAATTTATGAAACTTTTCCCTCGGGTCTTGTCCGTTTTATTGCGTTTGCTCGATTGCAGACTCATCGCCAAATTCAACAGTTGTGTGCGAGATCATCGCGCCACTTGTCCCCGACATGTCACTATCTCGCTTATCGACTCCTCATATGGATATTTGTGCAACGAGGGCTATAATAGTAAACATTTGATGCGAGAATGGAATGAGACGCGAAAAAAATTGCAGCATTCATGGAATCTGCCGAATGTCTCATGGATCTCGACAGAAAACCAGCGGTGAAACGGTGCCACGATGAGACATTGAGAGAAATCGAATCGGCCAATACTGAAATGGGCATTTCCATGTCGGCAAAACTCGATCGAATGTGCGGGTGAGTAAACAAACCCGAGTTTCATTATGATTTGCACTTCATTCCAATTTCGCTTTTTCACATATTTCAACCACTTCCATCCAATTTTAGTGCACTTAATTTCTTCTCGGGATGCGTACGAACTCCAATCAAACAGGAATGTGGGTTTTCGGCCTGGCAGGTCATCTATCGAGTATTAAAAGATACAACAAACACCTTAATGCCCGCTTGTCAATTTACTGGAACTTCGCACAAGTAACCGAGATCAATCGTAATCCCATAGTAAGCAAATCATTTTAGGCTCGCTGCGTTCGAAATGAAAGCTGAAAGTCGTTCGGAAGAGCCGACTAAGCCTACAACAACTAGTAGTACGACAACCAGAGCTCCTCCAACAACGGTCACCACAACTACAAGAGCCTCTACGACAAGGGCATCGGCGAAAGAAATGCAACAAATCCGCGACAATGGTCTCGCAGCGAAATCAATTTTCAGTATTGCCCTCGTCTTCTTCTTAATTCTTTGATTATTTCATTTCCAAAATTACTACGAGTATCTCGAATCTTTTTTCATTTTTATTAAGTTTTTAGTCATGTATGCTCATTTGAATCATATTAGTTAAATGAATAAATGTTTAAAAATATTTATTGAATTTATAAATATAAATATATATTATCATTTAAAAAAAAAACGAACACCTTGACAAATTGGAGACCATTGCACTTTTTCTAGGCGAAATTTCAAATTTAAATTTAATATTTGTATACCGTATTCAGGATAAACTGGAAGCTAACTCATCGTAAATTGGCGCAGGGTGCTCGTTTTTTTGAGAATGCAATATATAAATATATATAAACTAATAAAAAATTAACATTTACTGGGATGGGTTCAATATAAAGAGAAGCTTATGACTAGGCATTAAAGTTGAAAAATTCGGGATACTTTCTGAATATGATACGATCACAAAGTGTACAATTTGTTCGAATTTTAATGTACATTTAAAGGTGGATACACATTAAATAAATAAAAAGAGAACGAGGAGAACATTTTCAGGAAAAACCGGTATTTCGCAAAAAACAAGCACACTAAAAAAAAACCCTTCTGGTAACTCAAAATCCATCGGATCCGACAAAATTGGGCTCCGGAATCAACCTTATCCGATTGGAAATTCTACGGATAAAATTGAAAAATTGTCGGATCCGATTGGCTTTTTGTAAAGGTATTTTCGAATCGAATCGGGTTGATTTTGGAGCCCTATTTTTTCGGATCCGTTTGGTTTTGAGTTACCACCGTGGAATCCGCTCTTTTTTTTAGAAAAAAAAATGTTAAGTTGTGCGATCGGCGCATAAATGTTGTGGGCTTGCTTTTAATGTCGAAATGTTTCAGTGCGCATAACATTTAGGTCATTCCCGAGATGTTCATAAGTAATCCATTACATAAACCATACATTAAAAAATTTAAGACAGCCTTATTATTGCAATTCTTCCATTAAGTCTTCCTGAAAAACAATTATTTAAATAGAAACAAAGAGTTGCAGGGAAAGCTGAATTTTGTGATCTTGCAAAAAGGTAATAATGTGCGCACATGCTTGAATGGCTTAAAAAAAGATTTTTGCAATTGCATAAAGCGCATCGTAATTTATTGATTTCGCCTTTCGTAGTCAAATTTTTATGATTGCAAATAAATCAAACCTGTTATACGAAAATTACGGCTATTTGTTGTTAGTATGCATAATTGTGTGAATAATTAATGCTTCAAAATTATTTTAGCGCGTGAAATAATATTAAAGTGATCAAAACAACGGAAAAAATGGGAGCGCAATCTTGTGAACATATTCAAGAGCATTTCATTGGTTATCATACAGATAAGCACCACTATACGGAAAATTGATCCCCGCATAACTGATTTTAACGGATTGAACGTTAATTTCCCGAAATTTTGTTATGAATACGGCGTCAATCTGAGTTCGCGTCATCTTGACATTCAAAAATGGTGAAACATCTATATTTTCAGGGAAAAGTGTTCATTGTAAATTATCCATTTCCATTGATTTTTCTTGCTATTAAGTTAATAAGGTAGTTTTTATTTATCAAGTTTTTACGAAATATCGATATTTTCAATCAATTTTCGTTTTTTACTAATTTTACTGTAGGGACCTATACTTCACAAGTTAAGTGAAGAAGATCTTCACTGCAAATGTGGGGACCTTTCTCCTACTGTGCGGACCTCATCTGCATGATCGCCCATTTTTCTAACTAAAAATTATCAATTTACCTGATATAGAAGAAACTCATTTCTAAATTGGACACGTTTTAAGAAAATTAACTGAATAACTATATTTTGTGTACCTTATTTGAAGTGATTTGAGCCATATGATAATGTTGCTTGCGGAGTGCCGCGAGTTTCTCTCTTTCCTTGTTCAACTCCTGCTCTAATTCAAGCATTCGCACTTGCGATTCCATTTCTTCTTTCTTTGCATCGTGAAGTGACAAATGCGAAAAATCGAGAGATCCTTCGTCGTTCAGTGTTACTTTTCCGCTCTTCACAGCCGCGACAACCATCGCTGTGTTCTGGTTGACTGCTCGAGAAGCTTGCGAAAGAATGTTGAGTCTAAAAAATGGTGGTGCGTAAAAATACATGATTGAAGACAATCTCACTTTTCCGAATCTTTGTCAGCTTTCACTCGACTCGAAACGAAGAGTTGAGCCGTTGATGCGGCGATTTCTTGAGCGGACACAATCAATTGCTCGAACTTTCCTGAATAGATATTTATCAATCTTTGAAATATCGTTTTACAAAAATGATTGCAATGCATATGAATTTCATTTTATGCAACAATTTTACCTTTTCCAGTCACAACGCCGTCGGCAGCTTCGACCAAAACTTTTGCGGCTACACCAACAGATTTTGCAGCTGACAGAAGTCCCTCGGTCCATTGATGATTTCGTTTATAGAATTCCGCAGGCGAAGCGCCACCTTTTCCAGAAGCGACAATTTCAAGTTGCAATTCTCGAGAGGCGGCTACCAATTGCATAATGACCGACATAAGTTGTTGGCAATTGGCCAAAATTGACTCATTCACCTCGAGTCTGAATATGTTCTATGATAATAGATTTAAAAAAAAGATGATTATTTCGCACCTGATTCCATCCGAATTCTCACGAGCCTTCTTCTGAATCGCTTCAATTTCTTGGACTGCACGCCGAATAGTTTCATCCATTCTGCGCATTTCCTGTTCTAATTCACATCCCACAACATCCTTAATTTTAATCATATCAATCTAAAATTTTTTCCAGCAAACCTTGTCTATATCCGTTAATTGTGGAAGCGAGTTGATCAAAGAACTCAGTTGTTCGACATCTTGACGTAATGTTGCGAATTCCACTAATCGATCCGCATTGTCGATTTTTGAAAACGCAGATTTTGCGTTTTTCAAAACTTTCTTGCATTGCTCATTTACTTCTGAAGAAAAATAGTTTCGGTTGACTTCTAAAAAATCGTTCAACCTTCATAGCTTTGTATTGAAGCAGTATACGCTGCCGAAGCAGAAAGAACAACAATCTTCGATATCAAATGTCCTGCTAATACATTGTCATCGGTCGATTCGAGCTCCTCCAGTTTTCTGTTTTGGACAACAGTTACCAAATTCGTCATCGTACTTTGCGCAAGATCTGTAAAATAAGGGATGACAAAATTATGAGACTATTTTCATACGAGGCGGCACTGAAATTGATGTCGCATTTTGAAGCTCTTCTTCACTCTGCTCAAACATTTGCAGAATCGCCGTCATTGCCTTTTTGTTCACTTCAATCTCCAGTTGTTTTTTCGACTTCTCGTTTTCTTCATTCGACTGCACCAAATGAACTGAATGCTCCTGTTTGATATGCTCGAGGCTCTAAAAATCCATTAATGGGTTAATTCGAAAAACTAAATAGGCAAACCTTTCTCAATTCTTCCATTTCTACATCAGCTTTTGCCAATTGCAAGCGCATCTCATCAACTGAGCTGGCATCAATTACAGATTTGCTCAAAATCCGGTCGTTCTCCCTCTTGGATTCCTCAAGTTGTCGATTCAATCCAGTAATTTCTTCCTCCTTGTCCATTTTCGCCTTTTCCATCGCCTCGAGTTGTTTTTGCAAGTCGGCCAATTTCGTAAGAACCGCAACGTGTTCGGTTCGGAATTTCTCGTAAACACCTTTCATCTTATTAAATCTTTCTTCAGCTGCGTTCGCTTTGGTTTCAGCAGTCAAAACGCGAGCATCATTGCTTTGTATCTGCGAAGCGTCGCGTTTTTGAAGTTCGTCTGCAATTCAATGATAAAAATCACAAAAAATTATATTATACAAGACGAAACGTATTCAATATTACGCTCATTTCGATGATTCAACGTTTGTTTGTATTTATTAAAAAAACATAATGAACCCTTCAATCTTTTTGCTTCTTCTCCATGTTCTTCAGCTTCTCTTTTTGCGTAGTCAAGTTCACCTTGCATTTGTACTAATCTATTCTCATACTGCTCAATCCTGTTTCTTGCCTGAGCATTTTCAATTTAATAAAGCAATTATTTAAATCTAATACCTCTTGTATTAGTTTCTCTTTTGCAAATCGTTCATCTTCAACAGCACGTTGAAGTGCTATAATCTCGTCGTCTCTAAAAATTCAACATGATTGTCAATATTAAGTAATCACTTGTGCCTTTGTTCAGTTGGTGCTGGACTAACTTGTCCTTCATCTTCTGCTAAATTTAGAAGTTCGCCTTCTTGATTTCCTCCATCTTCCGATCCATTCGATCGCAAATAAGCATGTGGTGTGCGATAAGAAGCCAAATCTGACTGCATCAAGAAGTTAGGAGCATTTGAAGGAAGAGTTGGAATCGAAACAAGGAATTTGAAGTATTGTAAATTGCTTGATTCTTCGTAAAACTTCTTGGTTCGTCGGAATATTTGCTGGAAAATCATTGAATTATGCCAGTCTCTAGCAATCGCAAACCAAAAATCTAGCTCGATGGCCTTCTAATGCATCGCCGGGCAATTGCGAATGAAGTTTGAATATCATTTTGACCAGATAGTCGTAGAACTTGCTAGTATCAAGTATAGCAATAATGAGAGGAGCCAGCATGCATTGTCCTTGAGGGATAAGCGAATTCCAACGTAACGAATTTAACATTTCGTACACTGAAGCAAAAAAAAAAACAATGAAAATTGAGAAATCCAATAAAATTGTACCTCGATCTTGTAATGTTAATAGATTTTCCATTTGATCAAGCATATCAATGGTCATTTCGAAAAGATTGTCCAAATCTGATTCAAGAGTCCTCAGTTGAGAATCGTTTAGTTCCAACTTTCCAGGGACCACTGGATACTGAAATTAGTACGTAAAAGAAACGAAGAAAATGAATATGTGCGATACCTTGTGATGAAAATTGATTCTATCTTGCAGTAATTTGCAATAACTTTCGATACAGGGACCATAGCCGCTTGTGTTTAGATGCTTCCAGAATTGTGAAAGTTGTTGAAATCGGCCAACAAATCTAAAATTAAAAGAAAAATGAGATTTCACGCTTAACAAAAGAAAATTCTTACCTATAGGCATCTTCAGGAACCTTTCGATAGCCATCCCTCAATAATTTGTGAACTACATGACAGAACTTCCAAGTAAGCACTGGATGCTTCTCTAATTGAATTCCGCCGACAGTATGCCAGAATATTCCAGAAGACCTAAAAATGTGATAAATTTCAACATAAAAGGAATCAATACTTGTCTTTATGTGTTCCAACAATTAAAGTTCGTGCATGTTTTGGTTTCAGCGGCACTTCATGCTTTGTTATTGCTTTTTGAACTGCTTCCAGCTTAAAAAAAATATATGTATATATAATTGAAATATGAGAAAACAACCTGAGATCTTACAAATTGCTCTCTATATTGTGTTCGATCCATCGAATGAAATATCTAAAAAAAAAGTACACTATCATTTAACCACATTCTATTATAGGACAAGGACAAAGCGGTAAAAACGCTTATCGGTATAATCGACTAACATAGGAGAAAAAACTTAGCGTAATGAAGAATAAATAAACATCTTGCAACAAGGACTACAAATATATTGCGAAAGGTGAATGGATCGTCGTCAAACAGAAACCTACTCACAATACAAATAAAGAGCGACGAGGGCACACAATTCTGAACGAAAACCAATCAGGCTGGAGGAAATGGAAATTCATTGCGCAACTGTGTATTTGAGATTACAGAATATTACAAATTATATATCTATAAATATATAATGGGCATTGATGTTCATTAATCGGTAAATCTTTAATTATACTTTGCCCAAAACAGATATTTAAATGATTTAACAATTATTAAGAAATTGAATTTGGCTGGGTTAAACAAATAGTTTATTCAATAGAAAAACACAAAACAAATCTTCAAAAAAGAAAACAGAAGTTTAAATATCCTAGTTCAAAACTATTCTATTTATGTTGTTCTGAGCATTTTTGCAGAATTTAAAAGTTTTTCCTTCTTAATTTCCGCCATCTTCTGATTAATTCAATCACACATAAGCATGTGGTGTGCGATAAGAAGCCAAATCTGACTGCATCAAGAAGTTAGGAGCATTTGAAGGAAGAGTTGGAATCGAAACAAGGAATTTGAAGTATTGTAAATTGCTTGATTCTTCGTAAAACTTCTTGGTTCGTCGAAATATTTGCTGGAAAATTATTGAATTATTCCAGTCTCTAGCAATCGCAAACCAAAAATCTAGCTCGATGGCCTTCTAATGCATCGCCGGGCAATTGCGAATGAAGTTTGAATATCATTTTGACCAGATAGTCGTAGAACTTGCTAGTATCAAGTATAGCAATAATGAGAGGAGCCAGCATGCATTGTCCTTGAGGGATAAGCGAATTCCAACGTAACGAATTTAACATTTCGTACACTGAAGCAAAAAAAAACAATGAAAATTGAGAAATCCAATAAAATTGTACCTCGATCTTGTAATGTTAATAGATTTTCCATTTGATCAAGCATATCAATGGTCATTTCGAAAAGATTGTCCAAATCTGATTCAAGAGTCCTCAGTTGAGAATCGTTTAGTTCCAACTTTCCAGGGACCACTGGATACTGAAATTAGTACGTAAAAGAAACGAAGAAAATGAATATGTGCGATACCTTGTGATGAAAATTGATTCTATCTTGCAGTAATTTGCAATAACTTTCGATACAGGGACCATAGCCGCTTGTGTTTAGATGCTTCCAGAATTGTGAAAGTTGTTGAAATCGGCCAACAAATCTAAAATTAAAAGAAAAATGAGATTTCACGCTTAACAAAAGAAAATTCTTACCTATAGGCATCTTCAGGAACCTTTCGATAGCCATCCCTCAATAATTTGTGAACTACATGACAGAACTTCCAAGTAAGCACTGGATGCTTCTCTAATTGAATTCCGCCGACAGTATGCCAGAATATTCCAGAAGACCTAAAAATGTGATAAATTTCAACATAAAAGGAATCAATACTTGTCTTTATGTGTTCCAACAATTAAAGTTCGTGCATGTTTTGGTTTCAGCGGCACTTCATGCTTTGTTATTGCTTTTTGAACTGCTTCCAGCTTAAAAAAAATATATGTATATATAATTTAATGAGAAAGCAACCTGAGATTTTACAAATTGCTCTCTAAATTTTGTTCGATCCATCGAATGAAGTATGCAAAAAAAGCGTACACTATCACGTAACCACACTTTATCATAGGACAAAGAGGTAAAAACGCTTATCAGTATAATCGACTAACATAAGAGAAAAAAAACTAAGCGTAATCAAGAATAAAGATATTTAAATGATTTAACAATTATTAAGAAATTGAATTTGATTGGGTTAAACAAATTGTTTTTTAATAGAAAACCACAAAAAAATCTTCGAAAAAGAAAACAAAAGTCTAAATATCCTACTTCAAAACTATTCTATTTATGTTGTTCTGAGCATTTTTGCAGCTTTCTTGTCTGCAAGTTCCTTTAATTGTGCATCAACCCTTTCTTTACGCTGCGTTAAAAATTCTTTTAATTCTACTGGGTCCAAGTCTTCTTTCTGAACAGCGATTCCAATTGTTCGGCACGTTTTAACCAGATTCTGACAGATTTGCTCAAGAGGAACTCCGACTAAAGCTTTGTCTCTAGATTTGACCCTGGCGATTTCATACAAATGTTTGACACTTAATTTTCCCACAATTTCATCTAAAATAGAATATAAATGAATGAAAATACGTCAGAGAAAACCTTTTGTAGATTTTCCTCTTCCAATTCCTGCTGCTTGTTTGAGCAGCCAGGTTGTAGTGGGAGTACAAATTTCAAGATCATAAGTTCTGTCAGGCTTTACAGTTATTCTAGTCGGCAATGGAACGCCTGAGCAGAGGAGAGCAATTGACATTAGAAAAAGATAAAACTCACCTTGTTTGAAGTGACCCGTCTCCTTGTTGAACTCTTTGCAGAAATTTGCAACATTAAGCCCTCGCTGACCAAGCTGGGGCCCAAGCGGAGGAGCCGCAGATGCCATTTGAGCTCTAAAGACAAATGTCTTCAAATTCTATCGACTTATACCTACTTGATATTTGTTTTCAGCAAGGCACCATGGATTACCTTAACGATCTCCTTCTTTCTAACTCGTGCAGCGGCTTTGCTTGCCATTTTCTAATTAAAATGGAACTTTTTATTTCAGAAGGAAGCAATAGTCAAAGAACAATTTGAAACCACAAACGGAACTTTACAGAGAGAATTTTGTATGCTGACAAAATTACGTCAGTCCTACAATGACTGGCGCATTTGTAGTGCACCAACGCACTTTTGGTGGAATTTTCGAATTTTTATTTTGCGTCTTCTTTTAAGAGAGAACCGTAAACTATTCATCGACAAAATTTTTGAATTTGCGGTTTTCTTCCCTTATACAATGCAGAAAAATATAGAGAAAATTTAAATGCAGCAAAAAGAAAAAACAATATTTTGTTTTAACTGAAATTTTCTCTTTTTTTTTTTAAAGATTTTTTTCTGGACTGGTCCTTATTCAATAAGTTTTCATCAATAATTAATTGAACTATTGACATGGAATAATTCCGCAGGTTATAAAATCATTAATTTTGCTCAGAAAATTCTGCCGTAGAAACGATGGAGAAAAGAAATGTATCACCTCCGTCTCTCCCTGTTGCTCACTATTTCAAAAACTTGTCTTACCGTTTCTAAGACATGATTGGATGAGAAAAATCCTTTATTTCTATTATAAATTGCTATTATCGTCAATGTGTGTATTTTGTTTCAGAATGTCTCTAGTTACAAAACTTCGTCGCGTGAGAAAGAAGCCGCCAGAGGGCTGGGAATTAATCGAACCGACTTTGGAACAGTTTGAGGTAATTTTTCTTTCATTCGTAAGATCATTTAATCAATTATAGTGGTTTATATACATATGATTAGGTCTTACAAACTCAAAAATAATTTCTAAAATTGAATAATATGGAAAAGCACAAGAAAAATTTCAGGCCAAGATGAGAGAAGCTGAAACGGAACCGCATGAGGGAAAAAGAAAGACAGAAATCAATTGGCCCATATTCAGGTAAGTATCGATTGGTATATGGCTGGAAAATGTTATTTGTGGAAATTTAGAATTAATCATCAACGGTCACGGTATATTTACGATTTATTTTATAAACAAGAGAAGATATCAAAGGAACTTTACGATTTCTGTATTGCGGCAAAGCTCGTGGACGCTAGTTTGATTGCAAAATGGAAGAAGCAAGGATATGAAAATTTATGTTGTTTGAGGTAATACTTTTAATTAATTAAGTTTTGCCGAGAAACAAAGCTTTTCAGATGTATTCAAACAAGGGATTCGAATTTCGGAACAAATTGCGTATGCCGAGTGCCGAAAAGCAAACTGGATGCCGAAAAAGTGATTGAATGTGTGCATTGCGGTTGCAGAGGGTGTTCTGGATGATTGAAACTTTAAAATTCCAACGATTAACCATTTTGTTTGATTTTCCAATAAATTATTTTCAACAGAATTCCGTTCCCCCGGGTTGAAATAGGTTCAATCTAATGAATATATTCTCAAACAACAATTAAAGCCAATATAATCAAATTGAAGGCAAATGGCCAGTGTTCCCGAAATTGAAACAAATCCCGATTTACCACAGCTTTATGCTGGGGTTACCATAGGTTATAATGAGAAGACTGGAAGATGCCTCAAAGCGAAATGGGATATTCCTCCTGGTCAAGTAGTATGTGTTGAAAAAGGAATCACGGTTAATGTTGACAAAAATTATTGTTACAATTGTCTCAAAAAACTTCAAAATTCGGAAGAAATGTAAGAAAAAACATAAATTTAACCATAAAATTTTCGTATTTATAGATATTGCACAGAATGTGACGCATCAATTGAAAAGGATCCTCTAGAATTAGCCAGAGGTGACTTTGATGAACTCGGAATTCTGAAATTAGCAGTTCACATTGTTCTAAATTATCCAATGGAGCAAATCATTGCCGCAACAAATCAGGAAAATGGTTTTCCGCGTCTTGTGCGATATAAAAAAATATGCAGCCTTTTAGTTGCTCCTCCCACAGAAGCTCCCGAAAAATTGTCAACAGAAGATTTTGAGTCTGTAATGCAATTGATACCAATGGAAGGCATACGAGAAGCATTTAATAATGAAACAGTCGCTGTCCAGGTCAAAAAAATTGCTCGATTAATAAAAAATGTTTGTTTCGAATTGAGAAATCCATTATTAATTGATTTAGAATAAAGATTGGGGAAAACTCGGCGACGAAGTTCGTTATAGGAAATTCGCAAAAGCTGTTGAACTGGTTGCTGAGCGATGTGCGAAGAATTCTCATGTAATTTATAGCATTGAACAGACATGTAGAGGGTCAATATACATATACCAATTATTAAATCTGAAAACGCGTGATTTAAGAAAGACGGAAGAGCCAATGGGAACTGGTTTATTTCCAATTTCGAGCATCTTCAATCATTCGTGCACACCGAATGTCTTCGGATTGTACGCAGTTGTTAACGTTTTTCATTTGTTTAAAACAATTTTTAAGTTTTGTTCAAAACTATTTCGTATTTGTTAGTCGCGGAGTACGTGCTGGGGAAGAGCTTCTGGATTCCTATGGTGTTTCATATTTCCAAAATACTGCCTTAAAACGTCAAGTAATTTTCACATTTTATTTTTCAGTGTTAATTATCACCCCTTTCAGCGGTTTTTAACGGAGGTTTCTGGTTTTGAATGTGTTTGCGAAAAATGTGAAAACGGTGAAAGTTTAAACCAATTTCTAATATCAAACTTCAGAAATCCCCAAGTAAGACATGATGGATTTTACATATCGAAGTTTTTTTTTCTTAGCAAATTCTTGAAACGACAAACACTCTAGAAGACATCGATTTTTATGTCGATTTCATAGTACCCGGACACAAAGATATTGAAACTCTTATAGTTCTTCTTCAGGAAAAGCCAGGCAATCCGATTTCAATTCTAACTTTTTTAAAATATATAAACTTGTAGGCTCCCCTCAGAAACGGCTGAAACTCTGGGAATTGTTCATTTCGAATGCAAAAATTCGTGGAGTTCCATTTTTCGATTCGTATCTTGTCAGACCTCATTTGGAAATATTGAGTTTGTTCGCCGATTCGACAATTGTCGTTGACCAAAAGGAAAAAATAGATCATTATTTTGCAACTTACGAGCTTCTTCATATTTTATATGCAAATTGTCATCCCATTTTCAGGTAATTTCATATTACAAGGGTTTTTTTTTAAATAAAATCATTGTTTTAACTACAGTAAAATTCAAATTCTGTGTGATACATTAGACGAGAAAATACTTGAGGAAATTGCAAGAGAAGTCAAAGAAATGTGGCCACGATAATACATTGTAGATCTATTCAATTCATTTTTTGCAATCATTTTTATTTTCCTGCATTATCTGTTGTCTTATGCATAATGCATTAAATCGCTTGCTGATTGGCTACATTGTTCTCCGCGGTTGTCGACTTTTCTACTCTCATCCTTATCACTTCATTGATTTTTCTCTTTCAATTTTGTTTTGATATAATCGTGCTGAATAGTTGTTTTCATATTGATAGATTTTTCAAAAATCATAATGTTTTAAGAATAAAATGCCGAAAAATGTTGATTTGAATGAGTTGTTCGAAGCCGCCGTTTTTATCGTTCAAAACTTGCCAAAAGATGGTATTGTTTGTTTTCGGTCTCACATACACATTTTCCACCGATTTAGGTGATGTCAAAACGAGCAACGATGAAAAATTAAAGTTCTATAGTCTTTTCAAACAGGCGACTATTGGAAAATGTAATGTGTCAAAGCCAAGTTTTTACGATGTCCAAGGAGTTTATAAATGGTGAGTTTCAGAAGAAAACATTTTCTTCATAATCTAGAATTCAGTTTTTCCCAGGGCTTTATGACAACTTCTGAAATGGGTTTCGAAAATCCAATATCTTGGTGAGATATTTGTTGTAAAGCGGTTTTGAAAGTTGTCAAAAGTCGAGAAATGTTTCGAATTGAACGATGTTCATGGTTTTCTCATCTCATCGATTTTTTAGGAATGCTTGGAATGCACTTGGAGAGATGACAATGGAAGAAGCCAAATCGAAATATATCGAAATTTTGACGGAAAAAATGAATCGAGCGCAAAAAGATCATTCGACTGATGTAACATTTGCTGATAGTAGCAAGTGACATTTTATAGGAATTTAGGCTTGGAAAAATAATAAAACGTATGAAGTTTTGGCACCGAAAATGAAGTTACTCGGAGTTTTTGAAGTGAAAGAAGAGAGACTATCGAATGACTCAACATTGAATGCGATATCCGACGGCGAATACGCAGATGCGATTGATGACGAAGATGTGTCGAGGTGAAATTATTTTCAAATCGCCAAAAACGAGCATCTACATAGTTATTGTGATTTTGTAAATTACTGTGAGTTTGAACTGCGTACCTTGCATTTCAACGTACGCGCATTTAATACAAGTACCGTTAAAAAACATCAAAGCCAATATGTGTGTATATAGCAAAACGTTTGAATATTTGAAACTTTTCTCCGAATGATAGTGTCCACCAGCAAGGAAATGAATGAGTGACGATTTTTAAAGCGATTAATGGCATTGTAAAAGTTACACAATTTATATTTATTAAAAAGGCCACGAACCAAAACATGTTTGTTATTCGTCACCATAGATAATGTGCAAACCGACAGAACAACATTATAAAATATCAGATCATCCTCATTCACAGAGGCCCGAAGTCGCCGTCAATTATCACCAGCATTTCGCGATTCGTGCACACGGTTTTTACCAAAATGAAAAATAAAATATCGCATAATTATTACAGAATGGAGAAAGAGCTCAGATCCATTACTGAGCAATTGACTCAATTAAGTAAAATTGTCGAATCTCGTCATAATTTGTTGCTCAATTTAATGCAAAAAGCGGTAACTATAATTTTATTTTCTTGAACAAATAATTTTTCTAGACTGTTTATGTCGTCGTTCCGCGTTCAATATCGTTCCGGACCATTCTTTTCTTTATTATTTGGCCATTTGTTGCCCACATGCTTCTCCGATGGGTCAAAAACTTCTTCGCCAGAGTTTGAGTTTTAAATTTTTTGCTTTTGTTTCGGGTCATCAACTTATATATACATATATAAATGTTTATAATGTAATTTATCTTTGTTAGAAATTGCTGTACACAGAATAACAACAAAAAATGGATTGTACCGGTATTAGAAATGTTGAATGTATGGAGTTGGAGGGATTTTGAACGGTTCTTCAGTACGTATTGAGCAAATCACGAATAACTAGCACACGAAACTAGAAACAACAGAAATTGGTTAATAACGATATTGTTGGTCGTATGTTGGATATGGTGCTCGGTGCTGATCTGGGTAGTATTCGGGTCCACGATGTGGAACGGCGTGAGTCTCGCCGTAGTAGGTCGACGGAGCACGCGATCCAGCGCGAATGTCGTACTAAATGTTTGATTTTCAATTTTAGCTTCAAATTCAAATTGTTATATACCACTTTGTCTGGAATTCCATTGCGTCTATTATGAATTCTCTGGAACTTGGCGATGATAATCAAAAGAAGAGAAATCTGCAACACTTGATTCTCTGAAGCTACTCAATTGCGCAAACTCACGTGAAGGAATTGAAGGCCAAGGAAGAAGATGCCGGTGGCAATTCTGGCAAGATTTCCCTGAAAGCATGCGAACTTTATTTCGGATAGATGTCGTTTGAGAGCGTACGTAGCTGTACCAGAAGATGAAGAACACGCTGATGAAGCCGCGAATAATATCAACCGATATAAGAATGATCCACGGTACGAGAAGCCATTGATTATAAGCGCAAAGACCTTAAAACTTGTTCATTTTCAATGGTTTGATTAGATTTTTGAAATTATTTTGTTGTTTACTCATTTCTCGAAATTTCATGCTTAAAACAAACAACCATTACGTAATTTATTCCGCAAATTTTCACCTAAAAACTATAAAATGAATTTGGGTTATAGGCCGTGTGGGCGGCGACCGCGGCGGAGACAAACGACGGCATTCGCAATTTACGATGTAATAGAATTTAATCGAACCGAACCGAACCCAATCGAATTGGACTGGTTCCAAAAAGCATCGAAATTGATGTCAAAATTGGTATCAACGAAAAACGTTACCAATAAGAAGAAGAATCGAGGCGAGAACGAGCGACACATACAAAAATACATCGAGGAGAAGCATCGTGTAACGGGCTGAACAAATTAAGGAAACTCGGAAGAAACAATTTGCGACTTACGATTTGCAGAATATTTGAGCTCTTCGGTATACAATCCAATAGAACAATGATAGGATGTCGAGTCTTCCACGACGACAACGGTTTGTCCGCCAGTGAATTTCAGCTTGCGATTTTCAGCATTAATTTTGCCTTGAGCTTCGAGTTCACACGAATTGTAATGCGTAACGTCTCCATTTGTGGTTGTGTCAGATAGTCCCCAACCGGCCAATCCAGTCAGCAGAAGGTACAAGATCTGAAAAGTGCATATTTTTTGCCCTCTTCAGTCAGTATATTGATTTTGAATTTATAATATTCGACTTCTGTGATTCATTGAAACCATCAGATTTGAAAGAATCACTTTTTCAATTGTTCTTTTACTGTAACCCACAGCCATTCCACAAAATTACGAAAAAACTTGCTAAAATTATCACACCCTCATGTTTTTTTTCGTCTTTGATCATTCGTATCATTTATTTTTCTTTTGTTTCATCAGGAAAAAACTGATTCGATGGTTGTCGTCGACCGGAATCATTATTTTGCAGAAAATGCCTAGCGATTCGATTGATGATGAATTGACAATTATCAGAATGTAATTGCCGACCATATAATTTTACACTGAATCAATCGTGTTTTCGAACGCCTTAAATCAAGATAAATGTTTTGGCTGATATGAGGAATGCGAATCGAGATAATAATGAAAAACAAAAAAAAATAAAGAAACGAACGAGTGTGTAGATGGCAACCGCAGTGGTGGCAATTGATAAACCGCAGCAAAAACACGATCGTATTTGTACTTCCACTTTTGCCATGTCTGGAATCAAGTGCATAACTTTCTCTCATTCACCTCTCAAAAAAAAATCGAATATCAAACCGGATCGATATGAGACAAATGTATAATAAATATGAGTAGCCTAGATGACGAATGAAGCGCGGCGGAATCAAGAAGAATAAGAATAAGAAGATGATTATGTCGATGGATTACCGCAAGCTAGCAAAAAGTCGGGCTTGTAATATGTATTGTTTTTTTTCATAAATTAAACCTTCATTCAACTTTTTAGATATGTTTTCCATGAGTGAGTGTAAAGAGAAAAGTTAAAATTCAGGTTTTTTTTATTTCAATTAAAAAAAAGAATTATTCATTTTAAACCAAAGATGTTTGAAATTCAAAATTTTTAAAAACTTTTCATAGAGATGCAAAAATTGGAGTTAATAAAGAATTTTAAAAATCTACAAGAGAAGCTCTAATTTACTTTATTTATTGATTTCGATAAATTTTTTTGAATCATTAAATTTCAAAACGTTCTTTTCGTGACACTTCATCAAAGTTAATCCAATGAAAAACAAAAAGTGCAAAACTGGGAATCGAAATAAAAAATAAAAGTCGAATCGAAATGCAACAACCTAAGCGCGGATAAAGATTACGTAAAATGAGACGAATAAACGAGAAAACATGTCGACGATTCGGTGTGATCGCAATGCAAAGAAACCATAAGAATACGATAGTGGCGTCAAATCCGCGCGGCGCGACACACCCAAACGTCGCTTCTGTCTCTTTCTCCTTTTCCATATACAAGAAGAAGGCATGGTAGATAGAAAACGAATTGAATTGGAAGAGAGAGAGAGAGAGAGAGGGGAACAACTGAAAAGCGAGGGACGAGACGATCCATTCGCAAGGACGTCTTCCTACTCAATACAAATTCCGCCACGTGTTTTACCGCGCACACGCAATTACCAATGTGTCATCATTATACATCGGTCCATCGGAATCCTGCATTATACGAATCTACGTTCGGAAAACAGTTGTGTGAGAAGTGATGATGAAAATGATAAAATGAATGCCCCCATTGACCACACCCTTATTCTTCTTCTTCTTCAAGGTCTACTCTGTCATCCGCCTCCACCCATACCCCAAAAAATAAACAGTATAAAAAAAGAAGGTAGCCGAAAATCAATAATACGGCAATTATGCATGGCCAGTACTATGTGAGTCGGAATTCACAACAAAACATTCATCGGTTTGAATTATATATATATATATATATATATATATATATTCAGCGAACGAAATAAATGGCCGTAAATGGTCGAAAATCGGGAATCGAAAGCGAATCACGAAAATCGAGAATGCAAAAAAATTGGTGGTGGTCGATAATCGCATTTCGCTTTCAATGAAATTCGGTTAATTGGAATTGAACCAATTTGACAAAAAATAGTGATTTCGTCGAAAGAACTTTGTGATATTTCTTTTAGAATTTTCAGTTTCTAAATAAAAATTTAAACTGGTTCCATTAATTTGCCATATTTACTACTACATTGACTCTCATCAATCACATTGTTATTGTCTAACGTATAAAAAAGAACGAGTAGAATCCATCCATCGTGTTGAATTTGTATTTTTTAAAACTAAAATTAGTATAGAAATGAGATGAGAATTTCCAAACAAATTTCAGCACATATTTTTCTTCAAAACTACTAATCATTTACAGACTATAGCAATGTATAGTCGGGTCGTCCGGCGACTGCTGTACGCGGGTAGATTTACGGGAATGCGTCTTTCGAAATGGTCTCGCAAGGACTAACAGGGTATTTCAAATTTTATGGACCGGTTCGATAAGTTTTTTAAACGAATGACGTTGGTAATTCAAGGAAACGTGAAACTCATCAAGAAAAATGAAGCAGTTCACGTGAAAACAGCAAAATAAGCATTCACGCGCGGCAAGACCTTTTCAAGGCGCATGCGCGTAAATCTACCCGCGTACAGCAGTCGCCGGACGCTCCGACTATACATAGTTGATGACTTTCGGATTCCTAGATTACATACAGGTTAGTCAACTAATTATTGGCCCGAGAGTTTGACCCAATTGCTGCCAGATATACGAAATTCCACAATGTACATATAAATTAGACATTTTCCCATTATTCATTTTTATTTCAAGTCTGGATCCAGTTAGTACAATTAATTTTGTAACTTCAAATATTTTACGGTGAGTTTGATTCGCACGTTCTCCTGAGTACGATAGTCACGAATTCTGAATGGCTTAAATTCGAATTTGAATTGCCTCCGTTAAAAAGTGCGATGGTCCACAATTTGTCAGTGCTCATATCTTTTTGATGGTACTAATTTAGGTCAAATACAGTCTTGTTTCTTTTTGAAATACAGTCTTGTTTTTCTAAACATACAAATTTTTGGGTGCGCCTTTAAGGTGTACTGTAATTATGCACCTGTTTGATACGCAGTTGAGACGTGAATGAGTGCGAGACCAATTTTCATATAAAGTGAAACATTTTTTCCGCCACCCGGAAGTCGTCAGTTTTCGAAAATAATATCAGCTTGCGCCAAGTTTGTCCGTTCATTCATTTTTTATTTCGTTTTTTGTCTGGCGTGTTTTTTTTCGCGCTTGCGCAGAACAAAACATCCGCCGATGGAAAAATGAAGATTGCGAAAACGAATTGAAGCGTGAACGGAGCACACATCATTGTTTCGGATTGACAGCAAACATCTCCACAACTTTATTGAACATCGAGTTTATTAGATGTTTTTACAAGCCGAAAGTGTTGTACCCAAATTTGATTTGTTTTTTTTGTCTTTTGCGCATTTCAATCGTTATTATTATTATTCTTCTCTAGTTTCTCATTGGCTACAATAGGAAGTAGATCGGATGAGGAGCTCTGCAAAATATTTGAGAATCTTCAATCTTCCGAATGTCATATTCTTACCGTATCCTAGAGATTGGGTACTCTTGAGAATTGGCGACATTCTCGAAAAACGCTAAACATCGCATAATTATCTTTTGCAATTTAGATGGTCCGCTTACTTTGACTCCTTTTGAGTGGCGGTTCCCTAATTCGGATCAAAGGAACAGGCTGTTTGGCTGCCGACGGGTAGACGGCGTCTGATCGCTTCTTCAGCGGCGGCTCTTTGATGAGTCGCGGTATGCTCATTGGATCAACACTGATCCGCTTCTCGACGGATCGGATCAATTCAATTGGGACGAGTTGTGAAGAGACTTGAGATGAGCCCAAGTCGAGAAGATCTGAAGGAAGCCGTCTTGAGTTCCTAATTGTCAAACAAACAAGACTGCGGTGATGGTCCCTAGTTGGCACTACTCACCGACACTCTCACATTTCTTAACCAACGGAATCAACTGTTCCGCGTTTATTCGAAAATCGAGAATATTCGAATAAATGGGCTTACCGTGGACGAATTGATTCTCAGATCGTCTCGAAATCGGCAATGCGAATCCGAATGAGAACAAACTGACGAGCGAAACCAACAACATCTGAAATGCAAATATATGAATCTGTTAGAAATATGAAGCCGAAAAAAAGAACAACAAGGATGACCTTGTTGAAATTCGAGAAATAACTCGAGCCACTCAATCATCGAATCCGGATTATGCAAAATTTTGAGATGACAGGGGGGGGGGCGAAAAAGCGAATGTTTCGAATAAGAAATGGATTAAAACTGACCGGTCTCTGTTTAATCGAGCAAAATATTTGTAGTAGGATGGACCGACTAAATTTAGATCAAGTTGCCTTAAAAATGTATGAGAATACTCGTCCAATGACTCAATTTTTTGCAAAAAGCTCCATCATATCAAGTTTCTTTGATTTGGGAAAAGCTCACACAAACCTTCAAGTGACTAACAAATCTATAGGGATTTTGATGGAAAAATTTGAATATTCAAAATAATACAATTTCATGTTTTAAATAATTTAAAAATTGCACTGAAAGTTCGACTGGAGCTAAGAAAATTGAAAATTCAGCAAAAAAACAAACGAATAAAAGAAGACACCGTAGGAAGGCAGGGCAGAATAAAACAAAACGAGGTCCTAAAACGCAATCGACACCTTCATTTTTTATGTGATTTGCGAATTGGGTTCGTGAATTTTGGACGATTCTCGTGAGAGCCAACGGGTCCCGATTTCAATACGAAAATACTTAATTTTTGGCGACGACGTCACAAATCGGAGCGTTGGTCGCTTATGAATTGTTGAATCATCGTAAAATATCATAATGAAGAAAACAAAAAGAAAAATTGAATTGAACAAACAATTTCGGTAAATATTTATAGCATCATGAAGATATAAATTCTGGATTTTGATTGGTTTGAAAAAACATTCACAATACGTCATCATTCAATTTTTTCCTTTTTTGACCCACCTTGAAGAAAAGACTTTGACGTGTGTGCTCTAATTGTCGACGAACTATACACAAGTGTCACACGCTATTCATGTTTTTTTTTGGTCCCACCCCTGAGATATTTAATTGGCTTCCCGTTTATGGCAACACTTCTTTTTTATTTAATTCGTATAGTTGTTCGTTTCGGACGAGTTCAGCCCAAAGGCACAAAAAAAGGTTTGGGATTAAGTCGAGGGGGCGGAAAAGCGACATTTTTTGAGTGGAAGGGACCGATTAGGGAAATCACGATGATTGTCACACAAAGTGTTCGATGAAACATCAAAAAGTGATGAGATAATTGTGTACGTCCGGCTAATATTTCGAGAATATTCTCGAACATTTTTGTAGCTTTACAGATTCGCCACTGAAATTGTTTGGCAAGTCGACAGGAACTCATTTATAGTATTTAGAACGACACGAACGAATATGAATATTCACGCGACAAAAAACTCGCCGGATATGAAAAAAATAAAAGTAAAACTTTATTTGGGTTTATTCAATTTGAAGTTTTTCCAAAAAAAAACCTCATCTGCGAACCCTTGAGATTTGATCATTTGTAGGTGATGATTTCAATGGTCCCTAAAGGGCTTCCTGGGGCAAATTTGGCATTGAAAATAGGTAAATCAACCAGTTGCTTATGTGGTTTGGTTGTGAACAGTTTACCGAGAAACGACACCATGGCTAATGGAATATTCACAAGCTCGTCTTTTGTAGTTGGGTATTTTCAACGATTCTTGTGGGTGTTCTGCAGAATGAGCATAATCAATCACTTAGTTTTCGCTTGATTGCTGTTCTGTTCGCAATTTATTTTTTTCAAGTCACCGTACATTGAAGTCTCGAATAGAATCTAGAAATCCACACGATGCTCGTATTTTTTTTGAAGCGTTGTGTTTGAATTATTTGTTCCAGTCTTCTATTTAGGAATATGAAAAAAAAAACACTTGAGGATGAGATAGATTTCGAGTGAGAGACTTGTACCGTCACTTGTCGAACATGGTGACTAGCAAAATTTGTTTTTCAAACTTGCCACGCGGAACCACAAAGCGAAAATTGAAAGTGGAGGGGGGGAAGTCGGCTTAAGTTGGTCCAACACCCACTCACATCAGTGGTTCTATTTTTCATTTTATCGGACCGACCGCTCCACCCACATTCGCCATCTCACGACTATCAACGATTAGAACCAGCGTACTCGAATTTCGGCCGACCTTCGCTCTTTCACCCAAATACATTGAATATGGAGTAGAAAATTGAATAGGCACAAACAATTTACTCGAATTACGAGGCATGTTAACATCGAAATTATTCAACAAATGACGATGTCTACCAATTTACATAAATTAGAACAAATGTCAACAATAGCATCTAAATACTAAAATAAGCTTGAATCAATTTAGAGATGTATCGTCGGGGTCAAACGAGTGGACGAAATTTAAAAAAATGATTGGTGTGCCAATGCGTCTCGAGGCAACGAGACGTACGCGATATTGCGTACCTTGCATTTAAGCGTACGCGCATTTAATATTCAGTCAACGAAAAATTTAAATCTACACGTATTTCGCGAATTTGAAGGCCCCGCCTCGTTTCAGTCGTTTGACGCCGACAATACATAGTATATATAGTGGACCTACTGCGACTGATGTGTGCGGGTAGATTTACTGCCATTCGTTTTTTGGTCTCGCGTGGACAATTAAGAACGCATTTCAATATTTGTGAATATCAATTATACTAGAAACTCTGAGAAAATGTCAAAGAAATCATGCGACCATTCGAAATCCTTCATTCTTATTTTGGAATATTCAAAAAAAAAATCAGTGAAGCCAAAAAGAACCGAATTCGATTATCTTTTCTTATTCAGTAAAAACAAAAAAACCAAAAATGAAAAACAGACATCATCGGAGGCGTGCAAAAGAAATTGAATTCCGATAGGACCTCTCTTGCTTTAATACGAGTTGTTGCGGTACCAAAATAATAAAAAAAAAACACGAAAATTAGGGTAATGAACCCGCTATTTTTACGAGATTATGTGACGTAGACGGATTTTAATGGCCCCACGAGGTGTCTACTATTTATGGCAATTGTTGCCACTATTTTAAGATTATAAAAGAAAAATCTAACCATTCGCTGTCAAAAATAAGTTTGCACTTGAATTGGTTGAAGATTGAAATAAATTTGACCATTACAATTAAAATTGTTTTCCCTTTTCAAAATCATGGCTTAATTGTTTTCGAGCAATTCTTATTGAAGACATCAATTCCTGAAAATTAATTGTATTCCGATCGATAGTCATTGATCCATTTCTTGCTTGATAAAAACCGAATTTCCGAAGATTCCTTGGAATCAACTCTGAAATTCAGCTTAACTAAAAAAAATAAACTCATATTATTTGAAAATTGACAACTTTTGGGAATTGCAGATATGTTTTTTAATTGAAAATTGAATAACTATCAATATCTTCAGAAAATTATCTTTTTTTACACTTGTGATTGCAACATTCGTGCGTCCATGGTATTCATTTAAAAAAATAATCCGTGCGGACTACATGACTTGATGGCCGAACAAACGCCAATGGCGGGTTAGGCCATAAAATTTTTAAATTTTCTGTGTTTTTCAGCCATACGGTTTTAAAACAATGGCACGCAAATCAGGCCTCAATCTTGATTATTTATTTGGAGATGTATTCACAAATGTTGTTGGAGAACCTATCACACCACAAAAGGTATTGAAGTACCGAACGCTCCGATTAAAATTATTTTTTAGGTTGCCATTTTTTACCTTATTCGCCAGTTGTTCAGAAGCCATTTTGGATATCGAGCGGTTCCAAGCACGAGACCATTTTCACCAAAGCAAAAATCAAAGTATTTTGGCCAAACAAATAACGGGGACAATCATTTTTTCTAGAATTTTTATGATGCTTTACGGCATGGCAATGTTTCCCCAAGAAATGAGCTATAATGACATTAGACGAATTGTAAGATTGATGGATGGCGATATTAGGAGAGGAATTTACTACCATTTTGTTGTCAGGTACGTGCTGGGTGTATATGTTTGCACGTATATTTCCAATATCAGTATGGAGCAATTAGCAACAGGAGCGGCTCACATCGATCTCCGAATTGAAGAAAGTCTATACACTTCAAAACGCGAATATCATGAGCTTGCTATGTACGAATTGCCACTGACAAAACCCTTAATGTTTATGAACGCCAAATGCTACATGTTCATCTGGATACGAAGAGTTCGTTACATATATCAACTAAAGATTTTCTGTTTATTTTAGCTAATGGCTCAATGGACAAAAACCACTCAATCGGAAGTTTTCGAAATAAGCGAAAATATGAAAAAATGGCTGACAAGTGGAAAAGACGATCCTCCAATACTCGAGATTCGTGATGGAATCGTACTTCCTTATGAAATTGATTGTTCAACTCGTGCTAGAGTTTGGATTTCAAAACAACTATATTTTCTACAAGTATGGTATAAAATTCATTTCGCGAAAAGACAGTGCTTTAGGTTGCTCCATCAAAATCAGTAGGACTCGAAAAACTGCTTCAAATGTGCGAAATGATAAAGAACCGTCATCTTGATGTGTTCCAAGCGGTTCGTTTCACATAATATTCTATTTTTTTTGAAAATTGTGTTTTCAGTATCTTCTTGAAAGTGTAGTGCATGTTCATAAAAAGAACGCTCCACGCGCTGTTGATGCAATGAAGAAATTTTTCGATCTTTCCATGTTCAAGTGACCCATATTCGTGTAATATCAGATTTGAAGGAATTTTTCAGAATAAATTCAAATGTTGTCAAGGCCTCACAAACTCATCGATTAGCTACTTTGAGTCAAAAACCTCTTCGCTATGGACCTCTTCTTCAAGCACGAATTTATCGATTATTTGGAAACAAGTCAGTTATATATTAAAATGGACAATATTTTAAGGTTGATTTGTATTCAGAGACGCTGCTCAATCTCTATACTGCGAAAGTGTTCAGCAAGCGCAGTTGACTATGGACGAACTTTGCAATCGAATGGCAAATATTGAATTGTCTCTTTTGGAGTTCACTGACGGAGGCCCAATTCTGGAGAAAATATATTATCAAAGTAATTAGAAATTTTTAATGAGAATTCTATGCATAATTTTAGGACCAAATGAAATAAAAAAGGATAAACTCGCGATGCAGCAGAGTCAGAGCAATCGAGAGTGCGATCTGATGACAGCGAAAGTTGCACCGATCGTTCAAGATGGTGAAGAGGCTTCGGAGCTCATCGAGCAGCTGCTTTCCATGGCCCGTGTTGTATTTGCCATCGAAGATATTTTGTATTGCCGATATTGCATGTAAGTTTCGATAATGTCAATTGAAATGAAAATTCTTCTACAGAAAATCTTCGGAGCATACAGAAGCTGCACTGCGAATACCGTCTGTAAGCGACCATGCGGGAAAAACACGCCAAATGCAAGATATGGCTCTTGCCATGAGCACAAGCAATCTGTAAGAAATTAATGATATGTTCTAGTCTTTCTAAATATTTGTAATAGAATCCGAAATGGAATGTACCATCAAGCTCAGAGAGTTTCCGAAGGAATGTTGACTTATAATTTTGAAGACGATGAGTTGCCGGAGTTCGAAACTGAATCCATGGTAAGATTTTCAGTTCAATCCTTTTTGGCAGTCTGAAATTTTTTGCAATCAACCAGCCAATATTGAATATATTTCAGGCAGTTGCTGCTGTTAACCTCGCTTATGCACACGCATCAATGGGAAATCATAATAAAGCATTCAAAATCATCGATAAGATTGAGCAGAAGTATAATCCCGAAATTAACTGGATGGTAATTATTTATTTTCATATTATTGTCGGTGAAGCACGCAATCTCACATACTTTTTTTCAAGCTTGAGACATCTTTCACATAGCCAATTTTTTAATCGAACTATGAAGATTTCGGGAAAAAAAACTTGAGAACCGATAAAAGCTATCGAAAAAAATTCAAAATTTTTTTGCAGATTTCGCAAAATCTGGATTGTTTAAAACGTTTTTCGCGTATTTTTCCCAAAATCTGCACAGAATCATTATCTTTCGATCAATTTGACATTAACTCACAATAAAATTAGAAATTTTCAGGCTGCGAGGCATGTGAAAATCTGTCGACTTTTGGTAACCTTTGAGCAAGAATTTTTGCATGAAAACTTGTCAGCTTGTGAGAGCATTTTGCGTTTATTGGATTCAATTTCCCCAATTGAAACGGTTTTGAGGTAATTCTTATTTGTATTATTGTCCTTTTTTCAATCGATCAATTTTAAAGGAGAGCATTATTAATGGCCTATGTGGGAAAGAAGAATGAAGCGATCGCATTGCTACGAGGATTCGATGCTACCGATTCGATGGCGACATTGCGAATTCTCATGCAAATGGCTTCAATTTTCACATCGATGCGAAGTATTGGGGAAGCCGAAGAATGCTTGAATGACGCTTCTGCTCTTGCGGTCAATACTACGTTAAGAAACGTTCGTTTCATGATAACCAGACGGGCAGCAAATATTTTGGTATAATTTCAAAATAAATGTTAACTTATAAGAATTATTTCAGCTTGTCAAACAGGAACCAATTAAGGCATTGAAACTTCTTATGCTCATTCGTGAAGACGTGGAAGCGTTCGGAAGCATTGTCGAGAAGGTTTTATATCACTACGCGATTGCAGTTGCGTTGAGGAAAAAAAGCAAAGGTATTTTGGATTTTGATAGAATATATTGAGACAACTCAATAAATATTTCGAAGATTCAGAAGCTTCCTACTATTTATGCAAGGCGAAAATGGCAAGTTTGCAAATCGGATGGAAAGCAATGAATCGGCTAATTGCCGCTGAAATTGTTGGACACTACAGAACAATAAGACAACGCAGAAACTATGTGGATAGTTTAGAAGCTGCGGCTCGAGAATTTGAGCAACTCGATGCCTCGGCTAATCAATCATTTTCTTGGTACATTATTTGATCTCATCTTTGATTCTTCAAAAAAAAAACACGATAAATAATTGTTTTATCGCTTCGTTTATTTTCGAGTAAACTATTGGCCCATTTCCAATCGAAAATGTTTTTAAATGCAATAATGATTAGTTTAGGATGCGAATTTTAGATGCTTCTGCGAGTAATTAACAGAAACAACAGGAGCGTTATTTCAATGCGAAAGTTTCTTCAAAGTTGTTTTTTTTTAAATAAAATTATCAGTGATTCTTTTTTTATTAGGTGGAGCAGGCGAAAGGAAATTTCCAATAGAAGGTGATGAAGTATTGGTTCCTGATGTTCCTTATAAAAGCAAAGTAAAAGATTGTTTCTTAAAATTCTATTTATACATTTCATTAATTTTAGATCGACGAAAAATTATTGCGAAAAGTTGATGAATTTGATTCGAAACTGATTTCTCACTTGGAACGACTTTCATTGGTTCGATTTGATTCTGAACAAGCCGTTGCAAACCTTCGCAATTCTGTGAAATTTGCACAGCAGCTTGAATTAGTCGATGTTGAGGTAAATTGAAATTATTTTTTTTTGTTTTTTTTTAATATTATTCAAGTTTAGGGAGTCGAACCGATGCATGTCGTTTGGGAAACTTTAGAATGCCCGGTATTTGAAGATATCGAGGAAAATTCGCTGCCTATCGAAGAAGTGTTCCGAAATTCGCCGCAACGTTTCGATGATTTCTTTGTAACGCCGCCTGGCAATGTTCCACTTGAATCGAAAGAGCGATTCGATTTGAAAATGATCAACGAATGGGACAAAATTGGAAAACCAGTTGCACCACAAGTTAAATCGAATAAATTTACGGAAAACCAATAATGGTTTCGGTGTGGAAAAATGTACGAAAAAAGCAACTGCGTTTTGATACGGTCCGCTGCAAGACCCGCTCAGGGTATGCGTTTCAAATTGTGGAATGTTCATAGTTTTTGATCTCAAAAATTTGTTTCACGCAAGGATACTGTAACAAAGGACGCATAACCTCAATTTTTGCGTTGGGTCTTTGCGCGGTTCATGTCAAAAGCAGGCTCACCCGTAGATTTTCCATAACGAAAAGGATTCATAACGTAACAGGCATATATTCAAATCATATTAAAACAGGGTACATAAATGTTTATATATTTTCTCTGACATATTAAACAGTACACGATATCTGGGCAACTCATCTATTCGATCGGGACAAACAGCGAACACACTTTTTGGTTTTGGATAACCCGCGGAACATTTTTGGACAACGAGTGGAATAAAAAATGAAAGTACCTCCAGGTTATCCCAACAGGCAAAATTCAGGGTGATGTGGAATTGGAGTGTCGTAGTTTTGAGACGAACAGTGGTAGCATGAAGGAACTCCCCTCACCAACGTTGATCTTTTAGAAAATAAACCCTCATGCTTCTGTTGTTCTTAGGCATTCCATGCAGGCGGCCAAAACGCCTGTTCACCCGACCGTTTTTTTCTGCATGATATTAATAAAAAAGTACTTAGATGAACAGATGAATTAAAAACACGATTTTTTCTGTCTTGGTTTAATTCCGTCTCGTATTTAAAAAAAGATATCTGCGCAAATAATTTCTGATCAACACTCGGATTTTTATTAAGGGTCAATCGAAAGCGAAATACGATGAATACATCTTCAAATTATCCTATGCTAAATGAGATAGGCCCCCATCCACACAATTTTGCATTTTTTAAACAGTAAATCCTTATCAGGATGCAAATTGTTGCAAAATCGATAACAGCTGTTTTCAAAGACATCATTTTATGTCAAAACGTCGTTTTCAATACATAATTTTTTCTGAATTCATTTTGCAACATAATTACTGCGTACGATTTTCCCCAATTAGATTTTCTCCCGGGAAATGTGGACCATTTTAAAGAAAAATCGGAAGACTTGCAGAAATTTTCTGAGATTTATGCCGAATAGCCGGTAAAATATCGGCAGATTTTATGGAATTTCCGGGATCGGGTGGATCAGGGTCAGCGATGAACCTAACATGATTAGGTGCACACTTGCAACGGGGCAGGTCGAAGGTATTGAAAATGACGTTTTGGCATTGTAAGTGAGTCATGTGGCAATATCAGGTCAAATCAATCGGCGACCGGAAGGAGATATATAAATACATTCAATCAAACCTCCGACCCTAAGCAATAATACCTGACGTCATTGTTACACTCTCACTTCCTATTTAAGCGATACTGAAGTGAGCGAGATGGTAGGAAGCCGGGAGATAACACTAACACTAAGACCCCCTTTATTCATGTGATTCTCATTCACTTATGGACCGCACGGCCGAGGTTCGGAACATCAATTTTTAAAGTTTTTGTAAAAAACTGGCATCGATTTTGCAACAACTTGCTTCCAGCTCAGGATTTACTGTGGTAAAAAGAAAAAATGCAGAATCTCACGAACTCCACCTGGTGGCCACCTTCTCATCAGCGGCATCCGACCAAATTGAATTGCTAATGAATTTCGCGAAAGATTCAGGTTAATTGTTCCTAAAATTGTAGTTATCCATATAGGTTTCAGAGGCAAAGAGGGTAAAAGATGGTTCAAACCATTCAAGACACGAATCATATGAATTGACAGTGTAGGAATGAAGTTGATTGACTTCCATTGTAAAAATTTCCGCTCACATTATCCAGACGCCGATCTGAAATAAAGTATTGAAATAAAAGTAAGGCAATTTAAAAATATCACTGATTTAAAAGTGCTGTTCTCCATCTCCATATCCATCGATCTCCAGCTCACGGCATGCTTTCCAGAGTCCATGAAAAATTGAAATTTTAAAATGATCATTATGAAACTGATCGTTTTTTGATGTTTACCAAAATGTTTGTTGTTGTGTATGAGTTTTAGGTTGCTCTTTCAAAGCAAAATTTCACAGTTTCAAAAATAATTGCCAATTCGGCAGTCTTCACAACGAACTGCCTCGACGCCACTCCACCGTGTGCGCCTAGACTCCCCAGGCATTTCCCTCCTGGGTCGGACCCTATGGGTCACCGATGCGGGGTGTTGGTCCGCGTCTCGTGGCACGAGAAGCGCGGCACCCGTGCGGGCTCTCTCAAATCCGACTCAACGAATATTCTCGAGACACGCTCACAGCGGTCCGAGACGCATTCGTTGTGAAGACACCGAAAGCGCAGTGTACAAAAGTTGTAGGAATTATTCATTTTTAAATTTTAAATTTAAAACTAACGAAAAACAAAAAGAAAAAGTAACTTACGCTATCTCGAAGCAGCGGCCGCCTCCAAGAAAAATGATATCATCTTCGATTTTCGCCTGCAAAACTTGTATTTTAATGTTTTTTATGACAACTTAAAATTTGAAAAATCAAGAAAACGTAGCCTGTAATTAAAAATACTGAGAAATTTCAAGGAAATCGAAAATTAAAGTCAAACGTGGCAACGAAGTGTGGAAATTTCGGTTACTGTAGACATACATAGTACGCAATTAACTAAAATATCGAATTATTGCGGAATTAAATCTTTCGTCGTCAAACTCATCGGGAATTGGTTTTTTTAAAATTGTTTTCGGCTGAACGGTGGCAAATTTTGGAAGAGACAATGATAAAAAATAGTACATTTTTTTGTTTTCCTTAAATTGCGAAATAATATTGGCCGAAAGCGAAAAATCACTGTTTCTTACGACGATTTTGTCTAATTTCATTCGATTAAAAAAATTCATATTCGTCATTGTTAATCTGTTTTCTTTTTAAAACAACAACTAACTTTCTGCTTTTTCCAGAAAACACTTCTTACCATCAATTATGCCGAATTTGACATTTGAAATGACTTTTTGGACATTTATTCGTGCCGCTGAATAAATCCAATGGAAATGTATAAGGTACCGTTTAAACAACTTACAATATTAATTTCTGATTCTTATTTCAGCTCGTCTTAACAAAGTGGCCACCGGAAAACAAGAAAAATTCGAAGACGAAAAATGAAAATGGATGAATAGGTTCACGTATGGTGAAATTATTTTAATTTTTCAATAAATTCGAATCTATTTTAAATAAAGGCATTTTTTGTTTTTTTTTTTTCAAAAATTAATACGTTTAATAGGTTGTTTTTTCTTAAATACTTGTGCGAGATAAAGGCAAATCAAGGTCATATTATGATTATTACGATTTGAGATGTGCAGGAAAGTTTCCCGGTAATTAATTTTTGCTATTTTCTGGTTCCAATTTTCAAGAGATTATCGTTTGCATTTTGTCATATTTTGTAAAATTGAAAAGAAACTAGTTGAAATAGGCAAAAATGAAACGAAAACAGATTTACCGGAGACATGAAAGGTCGGTTTTCCCGCACATTTCTGATCGGAATCGAATGAAACTCACTTCGCATTTCTTTGCGTTTGTGATGCCAATTTTTTCTTTTTACTTGATTTCTCTCTTGTCGAATGATTTCCTCGAACAACTTTTAGAAGTAGCTCTATTTAGGTTCGTCGTAGTCACGCCGAATAGTTTTTCGCTACCGATTTTTCCCTCCACTACCGGTTTTTCACTACCACATTTTCGCTTCAGAAAACATAGATTTTTCACTATCGTTTTTAACTACTATTGTTTCGGACAGTGACGCGATTAACTAAAATGTGCGAATTATTGCGGAATTAAATCTTTTCTCATCAAACTCATCGGGCAGTGGTTTTTTTGGTTTTCGGCGAAAAGATGGCAAATTCTGGCACAGACTATTTAGTTTCGTCGGCATTTTCGTTTTCACGCCACCTTCGAAATTGAAGAGTCTATTCTGCCGGTAATCACCCAGAGTATGGCCCTAAAGAAAATTCTTCGAAAGAAAAAAATCAAGAATTCGTTCCAATAAATTATTCGCTTTTCCTCGAGATTGCTCGAATCCTTTCGAAGAAAAATTCTCGAATATTCTTTCGAGGAAATATACTGCTACCACCGCCCTCCGATCGATTAGAAGATCATCATCGGGGTATTAAACATACTCTCGAAATTCCTGGTCGACCCACAACGATACCTCATATTTTTTTAATATATCACTTTTAGCAGTGTGTGCTCTCGGGAAAAATTCTCGAGAAAAATCGAGAAAATTTTTAGCATCATAATTTTTTGAAAATTGAGTCGTTTTCTAGCCGAATTGCGAAAAAATACTACTTGAATTAATACGAAAACATTGTAAATTTTCAGTCCGAACCGCTCGCTGAAATGCTGAAATTAAAAATAGAGTGTGATAGATAGATACTTGTGTTCGTACTTTTTAAAACCATTCGAACGAAGTTTGTTTTAGAATTTAATCGATTCTAGAATTTCATTAGTGTTGGTAGAAACTTAGAACCAGGAATTGATTCAACAACGACTAGTTTGGTTATTTCTTTTGAGCATTTTAGCGTAGTGTAACATCTTAAACGAAATACCAACTTTATCCAAAAAGATTTTGTCAAAAACTTCATCATAATAATGTTGGAATCTAGAATTTGCATGTTTTCAAATTGCTTTGTATTGAATAGTGTCCCCACTCAGATTTCTTTATCGATCAAGCAATTCGAACCCACTGCCCTCCGATCTCGGTGTCTGATAACTTCAATCATCATCGGGCGTCAAAAAATGCTTCAAAAAAATTTTGAATAATTCAAGTTGAAATTGATTTTTATCCACAAAAAATGGACAATTATTAAAAAGGATTATTAAATAGTTAGTTGAATATTCCTAATATCACCGCCCTCCGAACCACTTTTCTCGAACACATGGCTCATCATTGGGCTCAAAATAAATTTATAATTTCTTTTTTTTAATGATTCACCACTACTCACTCGACGAATTTTAATCAAATAGGCCGTTTTGATTCTAGGAAACAA